GTGTTCACTTTGTGGCAATCTACTGAGTTGCAGACATTTCATTCCTGCACTTTAAAGAACATATGTTCTATGTTGGTATTTCAAACTGTTTCAAGAAAGGTTACTCTGCCTCTCTCCTTATTGCTCCTAAAAAGCAAAAAGGATCAGGCATGGTGGTGCATGCTTTTAATCCCATCACTCAAGAGGCAAAGGCAGGCAGATCTCTCTGAGGTCAAGGCCAACCTGGTCAACAGAATGAGTACCAGGACAGTCAAGGCTGTCTGGAGGATGGGGAAAAAGAAAGAAATGACAGGAAAGCCTTCTAAGATGAAAACTGCATCTTATACTTCCTTCATAACAGCTACAAACACAGGACAGTAACTGATAAAAGAACTTGTACCAAAAATCAGGTCATAAACAATGTATTTTTGCTAAGTCATATGATTACCTAAGACAAGGAATACATGCTCTATTAGAATTGCAAACCTCTCTTTTTAAATGATATTTAAAATTTTACAGACATCGGTGTTTTGACTGAATTTATGTGCACTATAAACATGCCTGGTGCCTGGTGCCTGTGGAGGTCAGAAGACTTGAATGATCCCCTGGAACTGGAGTTGTAGGTGGTTGTGAGTGAACCCCATGCTAGAAGTGAACCTGGGTTCTCTGCAAGGGCAGCAAGGACTCTTAACCAATGACCCACCTCTCCAGCTCCATCTCTTTTTAGTATACATAGGTTTCTAGAGTTTTGAACTAAAAGAAGTTAATATAGGAGAAACTAAATCCCAGAAAAATTAAGGTGGCTTGCTCTAGGTAAAGACTGTAACCAAAGGGGACTGGAGAAATGGCTCAATGGTTAAGAGTTCTGGTTCTTCTTCTAGAGGACCTGGGTTCAATTCCAAGCACTTACATGGTGCCTCACAACTGTAACTCCAGTTCAAGGGTATCCAACACCCAAACATAGAATGCTTAAAGGAAAAACACTAATGCACATAAAATAAAATTAAATATTTTTTTTAAAAAGATTGTAATCTATTGTGGAGATCTCACATACCTGAGGTAGTACTGCATTTAGGGTTTTACATCCTAATCTCCAGAAACACAGTCTTAAACACTATACTCCCAAATGATGAAACCCCAAAAGACTAAAATACAAAATCTGCAAGATCGAGAATCTCAAAGCCAGGCAGTGATGGTACACACCTTATCCCAGCACTCCGGAGGCAGAGGCAGGCAGACCTCTGAGTTTGAGGCCAGCATGGTCTACAGAGGGAGTTCAAGGGATGGCCAGGGTTACACAGAGAAACCCTGTCTCAAAAAAACAAAAACACAAACAAAAAAAAAAAAAAGAAAAAGAAAAAGAAACAATAATTCTGGGAGAAAATAATTTTAAAAACCTGTTTAAAAGCCGGGCGTTGGTGGCGCACACCTTTAATCCCAGCACTGGGAAGGCAGAGGCAAGCGGATCTCTGTGAGTTTGAGGCCAGCCTGGTCTACAGAGCGAGTTCCAGGACAACCTCCAAAGCCACAGAGAAACCCTGTCTCGAAAAACCAAAAAAAAAAAAAACCTGTTTAAGCTGGGCATAGTGATGCGCATCTATAATCTCAGCATTTAAGAAGGAAAGGTAGGAATACCAGAAGTTCACAACATTCTCAGCTACACAATAAGCTAGAGGCCAACCTGAGCTACATGAGACCCTATTTCAAAAGAACAAATAAAATGTTTAAAAGGCATTTACTTAAGGGCTGGAGATATAACTTAATGTCAGACAAACTATATCCATGCAAAAGCAGGTTATCCGCATTGTTTCACACACAGAGAATTCTAGCACTCAGGAAGCAAAAGCATGACACTTGTCACTGAACTACCTTTCCTTGGATTGTTTAAGATCTGGTTCCAAAGGCAACTACAAGAAAGTAGTCTCATGTCGAGATGAGTATTTGCCTTTCTTAGAGAATATGCTTGAGTTTATCTTCTTGGGTGCTGCTCTTCTGAAATTCTATGACTCATATAAAGCAACATAATCACTCCCTATCAAAAAGTTCTGTCTTGGACTGGATCCATGGCTGAGAGGTTAAGAGTGCTTTCTGTTCTTCCAGAGGACCTGAGTTTAGCTCCCAGCACCCACTGCAACTCCAGCTCTAAGGGATCTAGCAATCTTATCTGGCCTCTTTGGGCATCCTCCCACACACAGTAGACACTCACACAGATATACAATGTAATAAAAAATTTTTGTTTTGATTTTTCAAGACAGGGTTTCTCTGTGTAGCTTTGTAGACCAGGTTGGCCTGTACCTCAGAGATCCACCTGCCTTTGCCTCCCAAGGACTGAGATTAAAGATGTGTACTACCCACCACCCAGCTTAAAATAACGCATTTTAAAATTGAAGTTTTCATTACTGATGTGTTGCACAGCCAATACACTCATCTGCATACTCTTTTGTCTATGGTTTTACCACTGAAAACACTTGATCACAACTGAATTAATTCTCAAATGCACTAGTTAACTGGAAAACAAAACACAACACAACACTTTACTGATCACACTTTAAAATCACTTGCTGAAGGCTATTTTACCTGAACCCTCACTCATCTGTTGTTTCTGTCTTGAGATGAAAATTAAGCTCATTTTCTAAAACCTCTCCCAAATCTTGAAAGTCTTTTCAAAGCTTCACTTTTCCCAGTTATTAATACACAACAGAGCAGCAAGTTTTAAAATGTTCAGGCCTAAAAGAGGCATGAATTTATATCTTTTTTAATGGAGATAGTTTTTGGGCCGTGCATTAGCAAAACTGAGGTATTCTGTTGTTAAGGCTTGAGAATAAGAATTTGTGTCTTCTTCAGGAGTCAAAGTGGGCTCTCTATGTTCATGTGCTTTGGTTCAGGTCACTGAGCTTCTCAAGCTCCTTCGGGTGGGCATTCTTTGCAAGGAGCACAGTGCTGGGTAGAAGTCGCAACAGCACACAACAGTAACCCGGGAATTCAAAACTTGAATTTGTTTTGTTTTGTTTTTTGTGTTTTTTGTTTTTCGAGGCAGGGTTTCTCTGTGTAGCTTTGGAGCCTGTCCTGGAACTAGTTCTTGTAGACCAGGCTGGCCTGGAACTCACAGATTCGCCTGCCTTTGCCTCCCGAGTGAAGGGATTAAAGGTGTGCACCACCATCGCCCAGCCAAGACCTTGAATCTTAAGCCAACATTTTCACTGCAGTCTTGGCAACACTGCACTGTCATTTGAAGAGTATTTCTGTTAAGCATTTGTGTCCCTTTGAAAGTTTGGTTATTGTTTGGTTGTTGAAATTAAGCAGTAATCACAGCACCAATCATTAGCTTACTTTTTTTTTTTAAACTTGCTGGGCAACACCTTTTATCCCAAAACTGGGGAGGCAGAGACAGGCAGATCTCTGCATTTGAGGTCAGCCTGGTTTACAAAGAGAATTCCAAGACAGCCAGGGCTACATAGAGACCCTGTCTCAATTGAAAAGAAGAATTAAAAAAAAAAAAAAGCCGGGCGTTGGTGGCGTACACCTTTAATCCCAGCACTGGGAAGGCAGAGGCAGGCGGATCTCTGTGAGTTTGAGGCCAGCCTGGTCTACAGAGCGAGTTCCAGGACAGCCTCCAAAGCCACAGAGAAATCCTGTCTCGAAAAACCAAAAAAAAAAAAAAAAAGAATTCAACTTAAAAATGGTTTTACACTTATTTTGCATGTTTGTGTAAGTACATGGAGGACAGAGGGTAGCATTACTGAATCAGTTCTCTCCTTCCACACATAGATTTCAGGAATCAAACTCAGGTGGGCAGGCTTGGGAGCAAGCACTCTCATCCACTAAACTGTCTTGCTGACCCTAGTTTTAAAATGGTTATCTTTAACCAATAAGTAACCCTGTACAATTAAGTAGTCACTGCCTTGGCGACAGTGAGATGGTGCAGCAGAAAAGGCATGCAGCCACCAAGCCTAATACACATATATACAAATAAACAAATGTAAAGATTAAAAGATTGCAAAACCTTTTTATGAGGGAACAATTTTGCAGATTTCATTATGTTCTAAGGAATACAGTGAGAAGGAATGATACTGTTTCCCCAATACCAAATCTATATTAGTAAAAATATATGCAGACAAAAAAGTTATGAGATACAGTTATAGAGATACAGGTACGAAAAGGGTTTATTGGAGGAACTGACTCACACAATTATTGTGACTGAGAAGTCTCATAGGCTGTCTATAGGGGATGCCAGGAGCATGACTCAGATCAAGCCCAAAGACCTAAGAATCAGTAAAGCTAATGAGATAACTCTCAGTCTGTGACTCAAAGCCAAAGGATCCCAGACCACTGGTATAAGCCTCAGGGTCCTAATGCCAAGATTTTCAAAGTGCACAACAGCAAAAGAAACGGTCCTAACTTTTACAAAGACCATGTTAGCTTCTGTGTTTGTCCTTGACAGGCCTTTACCTACTAAATGGTGTACAACCATACTAAGAAGGCTCTTTCCTTATTCCATCTAAACCCAGATATTAATCTCCTCTGGAAGCCTCACATTCACATCCTAAACAATGCTCAACTAAGATTTTTGGTATTCACTACTCCTAATATGATACAACTATCAAACATAGAACCACCAATGTTCTAATCCCCTCTTCAATATTTACCTTTATACTCCTTATAAACCCTTTGCTTTCTGCTATAGGAATACAGGGACTGAGGTTTTCAGAATTCTAGCTTCCAGAATTCCACATTTAAGATTTTACTCTTTCAGGATTATGACTTTTGAGAGTTTACACTTATAGAACTTCACCATTCACTAGACATCTGGGAGTCCAGCTTTCAGAATTATGCGTAACACCATATTTTTATTGCTTTCCCAAAAATCCAAGCAGGTTCCCTTTCCTCCCATGTAAACACTCAAAAGCTTTCCAATTGTTTTTCTGTTTCATGTTTAGATGGTAATCTCTTAACTGAAACATTTTCTTTTAAACTTTCATTTCAAAAATTGGCTCAAACACATGAATACTAAAAGTACCAACAAGCTCAACCAGGAAAACACCATTTCCAGTTCCAATATCAAGCACTGAGGCATCCGATGGGATCTTGTGTTTCTGCATCCACCTTATTAGTCGGTTCATACTCTCTTCCCCAAACCTGTTAGGAACAGAATACAAAGAGCATATACACAGCAAAAGTTACAACTGTATTTCACTTATGCTCACTTTAGTCTTTTCTGAAAAGTAGTATTTGTAACTGTTTACACTTTATCTTTATTGTTATTTAGGAGACTACACTTCTAAAGATAGGATACCCAAGGTATGTGTTATATATACTAGTGCATATAAATAAGTAATAAATATATAGATATACATATTTATAAACACACATGTACAATTACACAATACTCTATTTACATCAGCATTAATTCTTTAACATGTCCTAATAACTGCCCTCTTGGTCATCAGCAAATATTGGTACTTCAGAACTTCATTACTTAATTGAAAAATGACAACTAAAGGAATGAAAGCAACTTCCTAGTACTATTATCAATTTAAATCTGGATCACTAAAAAAGAAAAAAGATATTTTAAAGCTGTCATTGAAGCAAGAGTCAGGCAGAGGCAGGTAGATCTCTGAGTCTGAGGTCTAATGAGCAAGTTCAGGAAAATGCTATCTCCAAAAAAAATGGAAGGAAGGAAAGAGATATTTTAAAGCCACAAAAGGAAGGAAGGAAGGAAGGAAGGAAGGAAGGAAGGAAGGAAGGAAGGAAGGAGATATTTTAAAGCCACTGAAGCCAGATTCAGCCCATCTTCTAGACTGCCATTGTTTTGAGTTCACTTGCTCAAGCTCTCTTACACCCACAAAAATAATTCCTTGGCTTAACTCACCAGATTTCTCCTGTATCTCCATATTCTTGGAATGTTCTCAGTTCTCTCTCATAAACAGCATCCCAACTACATAAACAATGAAATGTGAAACAAATTAAACTGTATTTTGTGAATCAAACAGATTATTCCCAATGCATTACATGGCTACTTACAATGGCCTTAAAACATTATTAGTGTTATCAATAAGTGCATCAATTTTTTTAACACCCTTGGGTTAAAAGAATAAAAATTGTGGGCAAACAAAATAAATCAAACAAGTACTTATACTCATCTGGTGCATAATCCTATATACATTTTAGCTTCAAGAATAAAAGCAGGCAACTGCCCAAGAATCTCTTAAATCCCAGACCAAGTCCAAACTGGACTACACAAATTGAGTTTGTTACTCCAAACTTGGCCATCAATGTGCAGATACAGGATTTTCTAACCACTAGGTCAGTAGTTTGCTCACAATGAACACAGCAAAGACAAAATTAAAATTACGTGCTAAAACAGTCTCTACCTCTCCCTGTATTCTAGCTTTCCCATTAAATCTCTTAATCCTTACAACGGCAAGCCTCCCACCCCTTACCATCTGCTTTCTCTTCCTAGTTCATCTCTGCAATCCCTGCTCCCTCACGCAAACTTCCTCTCATCCTAATCCCTACATCTACATTCTAACTCATTAATTTCTTAGCTTCAGCTTTAGGTCATACCCCCGCCCCACCCCCAACCCCTACCACCTCCCTAGCTCACAGTTCAGAGCATCCTCCTCCAGCTTCCGGATCTCAAAGCTCTCCAGGGACCTCTCCCGGGCCGTTGTCCGATGGCGTTGCCCAGCCCTCCCTCTCCCCCTTCTCCGCCAGGCAGATTCCAGACCCCTACGCCGACTCCCCAAGGACCTCGGGTGGTCTTGAATCCCTTGAGAGAGGGTTAACCGCTGGCCAGGACATGCTGGGGATCTCGCCCCTTAAAGCACCCACAGGTGGCCTTCCACCCTCGGGCCCCCACCGCGGGTGGGGGGGTGATGGGGGCGCCGTCTCCTTCCGGGCCTCAAGCTCCCGCTTACCCTCCCCGCCACACTCACTGCTCTCGTGTCCCCAGCGCCGACGGGACGAAGTCAGCCGCCACGGGACTGCCCTCTCGAGACCGCGCAGGGACCGCAGCGCCGCTGTGGCCGCCAGCATCCGCGTTCATGTCGCTCTGCGCCTTAATGGGCTTTCGCGGCCGCCATAGAGACGCGGTTCGGGCAGAGAGGACGCGCAGGCCTGGCCTCTCTAGGCAATGGAAGACTGACTCTCTCTCTCCCTTTTCCTCTACCCCTCCCCTCTCAGACACACCCTCCCCCTCCAGCCAACTCATACCCCTTACACTCTTTCTCTCAAAGTGACCTTATCTGGGGACTGCTGTTTGTAAGTCGTCGTTCCGAAGTACTACATTTTGGGAAACACGCTGTCAGATGCCACACACCACTCAGTCCAAATGCATGGCATCTCCTTTCTCTAGTGAGGCAGATCTGGAAAGTAGTAGATCAGCCCATCTCATTACTGGCTTCCCGACCAAAAGACTAATTTCATTTGTGGCTAGAATTCTGGATGTAACCGGCTGACCTTTTAAGAGCTTTTGGTCAAGGAAATGAGTGTCTTAGGGCCACCCACAGCACACCAGCCATGGAGTTGTGATAAAATGAATAGCGGAATGATCGGGTACCTGGGTGGAGCTTCATCTGTCCCCAGCTAGGCATCTGAGCCTGTCCAAGCCTCAACCTCTGCATGCTTTAGTTTGACACTGTGGTTTGCTCAAAATCAAAGGTGGCGTGTTTCTCAAGACTTCATGAACCTGAGATGTCTTCTGCCTGTTGTTCTTGACTGCAGCCGGTAGTTCTGCAATACAATGGAAAAGATCTTAAATGTGTCCTGGGCCTAGGATATTTTCTGTACTAGCCATGAAATACTCATGGTTCAATGAGTAGGCAAGGGTTTCATAGTCTCCTAGCAAGCTGCCTTCCAACAAAAACTTGTTTCCAAGGCTACATTTCTGTTGACTTCACAGAGGCCCAATACCAAGTCCCTTGAGGCAAATGGCAACAACAGTTGCCCTCCCAGTTTGCAGTCCATCTTCTCCTACACATGGTGTTCCAAGATCTTCTGGCAATAAAGAATAAAGTAAAAGGCAGATGGAAATCCATGTACGTAGTGATTAAAGAACTCAAGAAAGAGCGTAAGTAACCTTATTACAGAGCAATAAAACCACCGGATACCACAGCCAATTAGTGCTGCCTTGGGCAAGTAGCTGTTTTGATCTTTTCTAAACTGTAGATGCTACAGAAAGCAAACCTGAATGTGATGCACTTGGTCTTTAAAAGTTTTCAGTTCTAATTAAGAAGCATCCATGAAAGATAAGCCTGCCTTCAGCCTAGTATCTTGCCAACACTTAAGATGTTTTTGTTGTGTGTGATGAAAGCTATAAACAGTTGTTGGTATGGAGCCCTGGGAAAAAACATGGTTTATACCAAATCCCTTCCCTGACTCCAGGAAGGATTATTCTGACTGCTTAGTCCTGAGGGCGGTGGGAGCACCACATCTGATCACCCAGGGAAAGGAGATTCTTGGCTGCAGGAGAAGTTCCATTGGGTAAGCTGTCTAGCACCAGGGAGAAACAGAACTATATAAGGAACACAGCCCCTCCCACTGAGCTTTTGGTCAAGGAAATGAATGCCTTAGGGTCCAAAGGCAGACCTGCACAACCTGAGGTTGCCAGCAGCTTTTTGTTTTGTTTTGTTTATCCCTGCAGACTAGCAGTTTCCACCTACAGCTCCTCTAGAACTGTTTCCCAGAGTCCTTAAGCACTTCCCATTTGACAAATCCAAGATCAAGAGAGAAATTTTCTTTCTTTGATCATGCAACAGTCAGTACCAGAGAACACACTTCTAGAAAAACCCTACGTATCTTCCTCCCCACCACCATTTCTCTTTTCTGCTTTGATGTGAGCTTTATGTTTTGTTTTGGTTTGGTTGGGTTGGGGTTGGTTGGTTGGTTGGTTGCTTGGTTGGTTGGTTGGTTGGTTGGTTTTTTGAGACAGGGTTTCTTTGTGTAGCTTTGACTGTCCTGGAACTAACTCTGTAGACAAGGCTGGCCTGGAACTCAAAGAGATCCACTTGCTGGAATTAAAGGTGTGAGCCACCACCACCCAGCTGATGTGAACTTTTGAAAGGGGACAGTGGGCACTCAGTTCTTGAGTTGGATCCCCATATTATGAGACCAGGAATCACCATGGTCAAGTTCTTTTAACTTCCCCAGGCCAGTTTGCATAGTATATATTAAAAAGCATAATAGTAGCACCCAACACACAAGGCACCTAGAGAATGTCAATGTGATTACTTCAGTTCAATCCTACCTGTCTGACCACAGGAGAAATGGTCAGTAAATTTGAGTTCTGTTGTTTTTTCAACTATAAAATGGGGCTTAAAATATACTGCTTCACAAAAATGTCAGGAAGTAGAAGTGACGGCACTGTATGGTTAAAGAACCTAGGAAAGACCTGACATGCAGTCAGGGTTCAGGAAATTATCTTTATTACAAGTTGAACATCTTTGCTCTCGTTTGGTTTCCTTTTGATGTGATAAAAATGCTGACCAGCATCTTATTGAGGAAAGGGTCTATTTGACCTACAGGTTATATATCCCACAACTGAAGGAAACCAGGGCAACAACTCAAGGTGGAAGCTTGAAGGTGGGAACTGAAGCAGGTTTCTGAGGAGGAACGCTTACTTGGCTGCTCCCCATGCCTTGCTCAGCTGCCTTTCTTAAATAACCCAACATACCCAAGGATGGCACTGCTCACAGTAGGTTGAACCCTTCTACCTCAGCTAACAATCAAGAAAATGTCCCACAAACATGTTCAGAGGCCAACCTGATGGAGACAAGTCCTCAATTTTGATTTTCTTTTTTGCAGATATGTCTAGGTTTATGTCAAGTTGATAAAAATCAACCAGCACGATCATTAATTCGAGTTAAATTTCAAACAGCTCCAAAATCAGAAATAATTCTGGTCTTAAGTATATCAGGTAAAGGGTCCTCTAGCACAATGGTTCTCAACCTTCCTTTTTTATGAGTTTTGAAGACAGGGTTTCTCTGTGTAACTGGCTATGTTCCTGGCTGTCCTGAAACTCACTTTGTAGACCAGGCTGACCAGAAACTCTCTGAGATCCACCTGCTTCTGCCTCCTAAGTGCTGGTATTAAAGGTTTATGCCACCACATCCTGATGATTTTCAACTTTGATGTTGCAACCCTTTAATATAGTTCCTCATGTTGTGGTGACCTTCAACCATAAAATTATTTTGTTGCTTCTTCATAACCTTTTGCTACTGTTATGAACCAAAATATAAATATCTGATATGCCGAAATCCACAGGTTGAGAACCACTGTCCTCGCCTGCAATGACTTCCAGTTTAACCACTTGCCCCAGTTCCAACTTATTTTATTCTTCTTGATACCTTAAATTCAATGAAACTGAATTTATGGATCCCACCCATGCCCTTATTCCTCCTGATCTTCTCTTTAAAAATTTTTATCACATGCATATTCTGTATGCAAGCCCCCTGTACCGTGAACACACATACACACGTGTACATTGTGTGTGGAGAGGTCAGAGAATAACCCTCAAGAGTCAGTTCTTTCCTTCCACCATGAGGGGTCGAGGATTGTACTTTGTACTGAGCTAGTGGTGCCTGCCTCTGCCTCTGCCTCCCAAGCATTAAACTTAAAGGCAGGCACTGCCAATCCAGCACATGTCCATTCCCCTCAGTAACCTGCTGATAGGATGAAAACCATCTTCTTTGAACTGCACACTTTTTCACACAACATTTACTCAACAGTTATGGATTGGGCATGATCTACATGCCTGGCATTATTCCATATAGTAAAAACACAACAGCAAACAAATAAAACATGAATCCTTGTCTTCATGAATTTCAGAATAGGCTAGCAGGGGAAAAAGACAATAATCTCGAAAATGGAATAAAAATAGAAATAAAACTAGGTATTGATAGGAGTTTGTCTTGGTTAGCTTTATCAACTTGACACATCTTAGAATTATCTGGGAAGAGAACCTCAATTGAGAAATTGCCTAGATCAAATTGACTTGTTGGGCACAACTGTGGGGTATTGTTTGAAAGTGTCAGAAACAATAACCCTCACTTCATAATAAGAGTACTAGAGACTGGCTAGACAGTGGTAGCGCACTCCTTTAATCCCAGCACTCAGGATGCAGAGGCAGGCAGATCTCTTTGAGTTCAAGGCCAGCCTGGCCTACAGAGTGAGTTCTAGGACAGCCAGGGATACACAGAGAGACCCGGTCTCCAAAAACCAAAAAAAAAAAAAAAAAGTGAAGTGAAGCAATTTATTTTGCAACCTTGAAAACTCCTAGGTGAACCTAGGATGGCAAGCCTCCTAAGTGCAAAGTATAGTTATGAACCCTGGCAAATGACCTTTCCTTCCTCCTTTTTTGAATAATTAGGAGGGTATAATCCTAACAGCAAAAAACCATCAGTGGGTCTGCCTCCATGTTTTACATCTTGCTTAATTTACTTTATTTTTGGTTTTTCAAGACAGGGTTTCTCTGTATAGCCCTGACTGTCCTGGAACTTACCCTCCCTCTACCTCCTGAGTGCTGGGATCAAAAGCATGTGCCATTACCACCCAGCATCCTGCTTATTTTAAAACTTATCAAACACGCGACCTTGTAGGCAGGCTTGGTTGTTTGTGATTTTCTACACTAAACCTACATTTTGGAGGGTGGCTTATTAAACTTTGTGTGTAGGAGGACTAGACAGACTAGCAGGCATTAGGGAGGGCCAACTATTTTCTGTTCGTGTCTACCTGGATCTAAACTGAACCTTTGAGAAGTGAGCCATGAGACTGAATTCCTAACAACTGTTAATTGATGTGGGGGGGCCCAGCCCTCCGTGGGTGACACACAGGCCGTCTTAAACTGTGTGAGAAAGCTAGCTGAGCCGGTAAGAACTGCTGTTGGAAAATTAGGTTGTCTCTTTCAGGGAGTAATTTCAGGAGATGCAAGCTGGGATCTATCAATGGAAACTTTCCCAGTAGCCAGGCTAAGCAATCAGTCCTGCGAGAAGGGGTCTGGTGGCTTTTCAGAACACCTAGAGCCAGCATAAAACAGTGAGTCATGCAGTTGTCTTAGAGAACAGCATTCCAGGCAGAGGAGACAAGAAATGTAAAGGCGTTATGACCCGAGGAACATTCAGTGCTTCCAGAAAGCAAAAAGGCTACTGCTGTAGCTGAAACTGAGCAAACCAAGGTAGCAGAAGCAGGAAACACAATCAGAAATGGGGTGGGGGGGGGGGGATGTTCTGTCAGTGGAGAGTTTGGAGGTTGGCTAAGTGGGATTGACACCTGATATTTGAACATTAACATGACCATTTCATCAGCTATGTTGAGAATGTATTTGACAGGTTAAGAGCATCACTTCATTACCTTGACATTTTGGAGTATTTAATTGTGTTATGAAGCCTTTTCTGTGTTTAGCTCCTTCCTCTGAGTTTGGCATTGGAAAATATCTGCTAACAATGTCAAGTGTCCCTTAAAAGCAAACTTACTACCTACTGGGACTCCTCTTTGAGGAGTTACTGTGACTAAGAGGAAGAGATGATGGTGCTTTGGCTCAGGGCAGCAGGAGTGCTGGTAGTGAACTGTAGGACTATATTTTGAAGATTGCTTCAGCTTATCTGGTGTGGGGATCAATAAAAGGAGTTGTCAAGGTTGAAGGCAAGGGTTTTGAATTGAGCAATTGTCGGAAACAGTTTTATTTGCTGAACTTGGGAAAGAAGTGAACAGCAGCTTTGTAGGGAAACCATGAGCCCAGATTGGAACGATCAAGGTTCAACAAGTTACAAAAGAATAAGTTCCTTCCCTGAGTTTCTTTCTTTTGGTGGGGATGGGGGTTGGGAGTGAGTTTCTTTTTTCTAACTTTGATAGTTTTACTTATTTGTTTTTATCTCCTATGTCCTTCCTGAAATTTGTAGGTTTTGTTTGTTGAAACAAGTCTGTGTAGCTTTGGCTGGCCTTGAATTTGAGATCCTTTTGCCACTACACGCCTTATAGTTGAATTATTTTTCAGTACAGAATCCTACGGCTTTATCAGCTCTACTCCTTCTGACCAAAATTCCCGCCACTACAGCAGTCAGGATTATTGTAGATCTCCCTTTCCCTTCCACCTCTCCTAGACATTAGTCTCAACCAGGTAGGCAAAGTGGTCTGTTCACTCTGAAATTACAGCATGCTTTTCCCATGTCAGATCTCAAACTGTTCAATTGCTTGAAACATCTCCAGCCTTTCATCCTTCAGCTTCATTTGCAGAATGGACAAACTGGGTTTAATACACGTGTAACAGAAAGAGCTGGGTCTCTTTGATCTAGAATTCTTATCTCTCCCCACCTCCACCCCCGCCGCCTCAGTTTGGAAGACTCTATTTCCCAAAATGCTCAGCGGCGGGGCATCCGGAAGACTCTGCGCCCTCCGCAGGGCATGACGGGGGAGGTGGAGATTTCCATCATGGCGGCTTCCATTTCGGGCTACACCTTCAGCGCTGTGTGTTTTCACAGCGCCAACAGCAACGCCGACCACGTAGGTGCCGGGCCCCCTACCGTGGTCGCTGGGGCCTTCGGCCTCCTCCTCCGGCCGGCTCCTGAGGCCAAGCGGGGACCTCCGGAGGCTCGGCCCTCGGTACCGGGGCCAAGCCGAGGAGCTGGTGACCCAGGCGGCTCCCGCCCCTCTCCAGCTCCTGCACCCCGCGGGCCCTTCACTCGGCGCTCTCCGCCTCGGGCGGGTCCTGGCACAGCTGTTCTCAGTCCTGCAGACGTAAAGTGCCCGGCTCCGCCAGTGTCAGGAGTTGCCTTGCAAAACTGGGTGCCTACCGCTCGCTGAGAGTCGGGCTTACAGACTTGAGAGCGCCCTGGGTCGGGAAGGAGTGGAGAGATCAGGCTTGGAGTCTAGAAGGAGAGGAACCAAGTCCTGCCTGCTGGCCTCGCTGGTTGTCGCGGCTGTCACTGTTCATACTTAGCAGACGTGCTTGTATTTTTTTTCCACCCGGTGGAAAATGGAGAATGTGAACAGGCGCATTAGGGGCAGAGTCTGTTTGCACTTCCTCGAAGTTTCTTGTTTAGTTCCTCAGCGAACATTCTAATCCACGGAACCAGTCTTATAAGGAAGTGACAGGCCCACATATGAACGATCGTGGAGTCCGTAGGAGCATAGTCTCTTTATTTTACACTGACCTCTGACTGGAAATTCTTTGTGAAATAGATGCTTTTACAGGACGCAGTTAATTTGCCCACCATTTGGGGAATTTTTTTTTTAGTGATATTATTGGTGAGCAATTGGTTGTCGTTACAAAACAACGATAGCTGGAGGATGGATTTGGTGTAATGTCAGCGATCTTCTCTTCCATTAATTAAAACTGATTCTGGGAGGTAATTCCCTTAGTAAATTGAGTGGAATGAATTTGCTGTTCTTTTTATCTCTGCAGTGTTGATGGTAGAGATTACTGATAGGAATATATTCAGCATAGTTCCTTTTTTTTTTTTCCAGAGACAGCTCTGAATAGCCTTTGGTATTGCAGCCAGCCATTTAATAATGTAAGTGGTTGTGTTACTGCTAGTATCCATGGACTTCAGTTATGAGTTCAGGCCTGCTGCTTTACTCGGATTATTATAGAGTGTCTAGGAATATCAGTCTATCGGCAAGATTATTATAAGGATAAGAAGTGTCAACAGTAATTCTAGACGCTGCTGTAGTCCTCTTATTTCAATTGTTAATAATTCTTTGTTAGTTCTTTGCTGTTTTGAGATAATGTCATACAATTAATGCTGGCCTTGAACTCCTGATCCTATCTCCAACCTCCTATGTGCTGGAATTTCAGGGGTATTCTATTATAACCAGGTTTAGATTGCATGAGACTAGAAATTTTTTGTTTTGTTTTGTTTTTCAAGACAGGGTTTTCTTGTGTAGCTTTGGAGCCTGTCCTGGAACTAGCTCATGTAGACCAGGCTGGTCTCAAACTCACAGAGATCTGCCTGCCTCTGCCTACTGAAGTGCTGGGATTAAGGGCATGTGCCACCAACACCTGACTGAGGCTAGAAATTTTATACAAAGTAAATACTTGTGTTTTATGCAATTATATTCATTTCTATTAAATTTACCACAGTTTTGGGTGTGGAATACTCAAAAGTAGTGTCATTTTAAAGTTGAAGAATTTGCTTTTGTAGGACACATTTGTTTGTTCTAAGAAAATAAGTCAAAGTTATTGTATAGAGCTAAGATTAGCAAACATAAACAATTTTTTTTTCTGGCCAGGTGTTGTGGTGGTGCATGTCTTTAATCTCATGGCACGCGGGAGACAGAGACAGGCGAATCTCTGTGAGTTCCAGGCCAGCCTGGTATACAGAGTGAGTTCCAGGACAAGCTCCAAAGCTACAGAGAAACCCTTTCTCAAAAAAACAAAAACAAAAAAAATTATTTTCCTTTCTTTTTGAGGTTATAATTACACACATCATTTCTCCCTTCCTCCAAACCCTCCCATGGTCTCTTTTTTTTCCTTAATAGTTATTCATGTTTATATTTCTATCCGTATACATACATATCCCTAAATATACCTGCTCAGTCTGTATAATGCTGTGTTATCAGGGCTGACCATTTGTTTTGGATGACCAGTTGTTTTGATCTTCCCTAGCGGACTTTCTCCCACTCTCAGCATTCCTTAGTGGCCTGTAGCTCTTTGTGTAGGGCTGAGGCCTTCTGGGCTTTCGCCCTTCCACTCTGTCCTGTTATGGGCGTCATCCTTGTTCAGCTCATGTTTATTAACTAGTCATATTTGTGAGACTTTATGGGCATAGCTTTTAACAACCTCACAGCAAACTCCTTTGCCTCTTACAGTCTTTTTGCCCCCTCTTCCACACTGTTCCCTGAGTTTTAGGTGTGGGATTGCTTTGTAGATATGTCCATTGGGACTGGGCTCCATGATTGGTTGTGGTTTTCTGTAATGGTTTCCATCTTTTGCAAAGCAACAAGAGATGTTTCCTTGATGAGGGGTGAGGCCTACTTAGTTCTGAATATTCTGTTGTTGATGTGGTTCATAAGTGTCACAGCTGGGTAGGATTTTTTGTTGCCTCCCTCCTTTGGAAACTTGGCATGGTGCCTTCTGGTACCATGAAAGCTGGTCCTCAAGTCTATTCCAACTCAGGGGCCTCTGGGCTCTTTCTGAAGTACAAGGTGTGTCAGCAATAGGAACTTATTCCACCTCTTGGGGGCACTCAAGGGCAATAGCAAGACAGCCCTCACAAGAGTGTCTTATGCCTGATGTTGGGTTTTTGGCTCTTGGAGGAAAACATATTTTCTGAAAAGGACCAGATAATAAAAGATAGTACTTCCTCTCTATTTAAAAAGTTTTGGAGCCATATGGTCTCTTTAGCCACTAACTCTTCAGTTCTGCTGCTGTAAGAAGAGACGAGATGTAGACTATGAACAAATGAGGTGATTGTGTTCTAATAAGAGCTTATTTATAGCACTGAAAGTTGAGTTGCTAATAGATTTTAACAGTTCATGGAGCATCTTTTAATTTTTGTAACCATCTGAACATCTAGAAACCATAGTTACCTTGCAGGCCATGTTTTAACACAGTTGGGCCTATGGTTTGCCTCTTCCTGCTATAATGTAATGCAGTGGTTCTCAACCTTTCTAATGCCACAACCCTTTAATACAGTTCCTCATGTTTTGGTGACCCCCTCAGCCATAAAATTATTTGCATTGCTACTTCATAACTGTAATTTTGCTGCTGGTATGAATTATAATGTAAATATCTGATATGCAGGATATCTGATGTGAAACACCTATGAAAGGGTCATTTGCCCCCAAAGGGGTCATGACCCATGGGTTGAGAAATGCTGATGTAATAGTTACTCAGATAATCCAGACCAGAGATAAACACTCCTAGTTAACTTAAGAATGTTTTAATGTCATGTGAATTTTTGGGTTTTGTTTGTTTGTTTGTTTTTTGTTTTGTTTTGTTTTCTTTTGAGAGAGGGTCTCTCTATGTGACTTTGTCTGTCCTAGAATTCTCTGTATACCAGGCTGGCCTAGAACTCGAGATCCACCTGCTTTTGCCTCACCAGTGCTGGAATTAAAGGTGTGTGCTACCATGCCCAGCTTCATGTGAGTTTTATTGTTGTTTCTCATGCTGTAGGACTATTATGGTTAATAGGGAAATACAGAACACAGTTAAAATTTGATTACATAATTTTATGTAAATTTGTTTACAGCTAGGCGTAGTGGTACACTCCTGAGAACTCATAACTAATAAGGCAAGTTTATTTAGTGTTTCTCATGGTCCTTCCACATCAGCCTCTTCAACATATCCTACTGCCTTGGGCCACCATAACCAGTTAGTTGGTGTTTCTCAAACTAGTAGTCATAGACATCTGTTTGAATATGAGAGGATTCTTCTGTCTTTTTCTCTGCAGTGATTGGCATTCTACTACTGAGTCACACATATCCACAGCCCAAGATTTGTTTTTTTGTAAATGAAATCTGTACATTAGTCAGATTTAAATGTAGGCAGAGTTTTTCATCAGGACCTCAATCAGTTCTGTTCCACCAGCCACTTCCCAAATAACCGCTCAGGGACTTATTATTAATTATAAGTGCTTGGCCGATAGCTCAGGCTTATTACTAATTAACTCTTACAACTTAAATTCACTCATTTTTATTAATCTATGTGCTGTCCTGAGGCTTATGGCTTTTATCTCTCCTGTATGTCCTACTTCCTTTCTGTCTGTCTGGTGACACGTCTGACTCCTCCTTCCTTCTTCCCAGCATTCTCTCTGCCCCAAAATGCTGCCTAACCATTGACCAATCAGCTTTTTATTAACAGAACAATACATGTTTACAGTGTACAAAATATTGTTCCATAGAATGCCCTGAGTGTGGCATTTGGAAAGTTTGGGATACTTCTTCATCTCTTTTGGGGTTGCTAGTAGTGCTACCAGGGCCTCATATCTCCCAGCAAGTCCTCTGTATACCTAGCAGACACTCTGCTAAGTCACATAAAGAAGTGAGGCCCCAAAGCATCTGTCCTGCTCCCTTCATCCTCAGATGTGCATTTGCAACTGGAAATCTTTATTTGTTTTATTTTGTTTTTGTTTTTTGAGATAGGATTTCCTTATGTAACAGTCCTGGCTGTCCTGAAACTCACTTTGTAGACCAGGCTGGTCTTAAACTCAGTGAGATCCCCCTGCCTCCACCTCCCAAGTGCTGGGATTAAAGGCATGCATCACCACCACCTAGCTGGAAATGTTTTTAAAACTGGGAAACTTCTGCAGGTGGCCTTTTTCTGTCCCAACTACCAGCTCTCAAATAACCAGCAGCCACTTCCCAAATAACTGACTCAGACTTAATATAAATTATAAATGCTCAGCCAATAGTTTAGGCTGTTACTAACTAGCTTTAACAACTTAACCCATTTGTATTAATCTATGTGCTCCCCTGAGGCTTGTGGTGTTTACTTCTATTTTGTATATACTGTTCATTCTCCATCTGGTTGACAATTCTTCTGATTTCACCCTTTCTCATCCCATGATTCTCAGTGTGGCTTTCCCACCTAATTTTACCCTGTTCAGCTATTGGCCAGTCAGCTCATTTATTAAGCCAATCATAGTGACATTCACACAGTGTACAGAAGGATTATTCCACAACAGCTTCTGCGACTGGTTTAATGAATCAGCATAGAATGGAGGATTATGTAGGACAAGGTCTTGTTGCAGCAAAATTTATGCAACCAATGTTTGGTGAACACTAAGTGAGCTTGGGCATGATGTAAGGGTAGCAGTCTGACAGTAAACAAACCAGGGTGGGCACTGATTGTAAGTCTGTGACATGGCAGATAATGAGAAGACAATGAAGGTGGGGTACAGGGAGCAGAGTGCCTGGCAGGTGGGATTTCCCACATGTCAGCCTGGCAAAGCCTCTCAGATGAGGTGCCATTTGAGCAAAGGGAAGGAGTAAGCCCTGGGTTATCTAAGAGAGATTACAAGACAGTGTATCAGTTCATCTTCTCTGCAGGAGGGTTATTTTGATGCTCAGGGTATATCCTTACCAGCCGTGTTTGTACTAAATATGGCAGCAAGTGCTCAGACTGATAATTTGCAAAGGAATTCCATGTTGACTATGTTGATAGATGTACCCCACAGGTGTAAATAAGCTTCTGTGTTTATTAGATACAGCAAGTGTGTTGTCTGAAATCTTGATTTTTTTATGCCAGCTCTATCCTGTCATTGTCTTTATTCTTTCATCATTAGTGGTATTTTTTAAAGCAATAAAGTAAGTTATATAAAGTTTGAAGAAAGCAACTGTAGCATATTTCTGCTTCCTGAGATTGTCTAGCATGTTATGGGACTTACTAGGATTTAAGTAATGAACTCACCTAAAAACAGGGAATGTATGTAGGTTTACAGTGATATGTTATTTTGGAACATTTTCTTCCATATAATCCAATTAATAGGTATACCAGCTTTCTGTGGTCCTGTTGCTAGTTTACAAAACAATACTTTGCATGCCACATGCCTTATTTAGATTAGTGTTAAAATTGATATAAAGTAGTAGTCCTTGTTTCCTTTTAATTTTAATCTTAAAGTTTAATTAGTTATTTTCTCCTGTTATTTTAGGAAGGATTTTTGCTGGGAGAGGTAAGACAAGAGGAAACGTTTAGCATCAGTGACTCACAAATCAGCAACACAGAGTTTCTGCAAGTAATTGGTAAGCTTGTCATTGTCCTTAGAAATATCCTTTTTTAAAATAATTTTTTATTTTATGTGTATGGGTATTTGCCTGCATGTATGTCTGTGTACCATGTATATGTGCCTGGTGCCCTTGAAAACTAAAGACCTAGAAGCCTGAAAAGGGCTTCAGATACCTTGGAATTGGAGTTACAGTCAGTTGTGAGCCACTTTGTGGGTTCTGGGGATCAAACCCGGGTCCTCTAGAATCAAGCCTAACTTTGGAGGTGGAAGAAGGAGGTTCAGGAGTCCTTGCTACACAGTTAGTTTGAAACCAGTCTGGGTTATTTGAGCCCTTGTCTCAAGGTTAAATAAGTAAAGTGTTAATGCATCAGGGACTGAAGAGATGGCTTGGCATTTAAGAGCACTGACTACTCTTCCAGAGAACCTGAGTTCAATTCCCAGCATCCATGTGGCAGAGAAAATACACAGAAACTAAAATTTATCCACCAATAGATGATATTATGACTGGTGAAACAGCTCAATAGATAACCCAAATTTAGTCCACAAAATCCACATGGTGGAGGAAGAGAATTGATTTCCACAGATTGTCCTCTGATCTCCATATGCATGCTATAGCATGCTGTCCCTCCCACAAAAGTAAATAGAGTAAAAAAATAAAAAGTGGCACAAGGAAGCAGAGAGCTGGCTTAGTGTTTAGAGTGCTTTGTTGCTCTTCTAACACACACGTCAGATGGCTTACAGTTGCCTGCAACCCCAGTTCCATGGGATCTGATGTCTTCCTGTGACCTCCACAGGCACCTGTACTCAGGTGTGCTTATATACATATGTACATAGAGACAAGTACTATTTTTGTTTTTGAGACAGGGTTTCTCTGTATAGCTTTGGCTGTCCTAAAACTCTTTCTGTGGATTATACTAGCCTCGAGAGAGATCTGACTTCTACCTACTGAACACTGGAATTAAAGGTCTGCATCACCATGTCTGGCCTAAAGTAAATCTTTTAAATTTTGTTTTTATTGCCTTTGTGGCCCGCATCCTCCCGGGCGCAGGCGGCGGTGTGCGGGTCTTGGGCAGGAGGCCTTAGCGCTGCCGAGTCCTCAGCGCAGAAGCCTGCCTGGCCGGGGGTGAGTGAGGAGGGGTAAGGACCGCCAGTTTAACCGGCCCCCTGATCCAGATCTGCGCAGCCTCAGCACCGAGGTTCTTCCGGGACTGTCAGTAACCGAGGAAACCGGTTAAGTCACTTTAAAAACACACAGCACTTTAGAATGAAAAAAAAAAAAGTATGGCTCAAGTGCATCCCGAGAATTAATCACAATTCTACGATGAAATTTCCCATGAGCTGCCACTTAACTTACTATTAAATTTCAAGTTCAGTGTGCAAAGCACACCATTTCGTTAGTAGACACCTTGGAAAACAGTGTTATCCCGAGCGCATACTTTCTATAGGGGGCTTTTGGAGTAGCAAACACTTTTGATGGTAGATACAACCAAAAAAGATGTGTGCCTAGCCGGGCGGTGGTGGCGCGCGCCTTTAATCCCAGCACTCGGGAGGCAGAGGCAGGCGGATCTTTGTGCGTTCGAGGCCAGGCTGGACCGATAGCCTCCGAAACAATACAGAGAAACCCTGTCTCGTAAAAACCAAAAAAAAAAAAAAAATGTGTGCTTTTCCAACGATCCCAAGTTTATCATTAATGCAGACCTCACAATCTTCCCATCCCAGTAGTAGACTTCTCATTTTCCACATCCTTTTAATGCCTAGACATAACCAAATTTATGTATTTCTCCAATATAAATAAAACGATGTATTCAGTTAACCTAAAAATTTTTTTGTTTTTATTTATTATTTTTAGTTTTTATGTGTATGAGTGGCTTTCCTGAATGTATACCTATTAGCCACATGTGTGCCTAGTGTCCCCAGCAGCCAGAAGAGGGTGTTGGATCCCCTAGAACTAGAATTATTGATGGTTGTGAGCTACCATATGGGTGCTGGGAATTGAACCTAGGCTCTCTGGAAGAGCAGCCATGCTCCTAACTGCCGAGCAGTCAAGCAATTACTCCAGCTCCTAAAGTAAATCAGTTTATTGCTGTTGTTTTGTTTTGTTTTTTCTTTTTGAATTTTCAAGACAGGGTTTCTCTGTGTAGCTTTGGAACCTGTCCTAACACTCACTATGTAGACCAACCAGGCTGGCCTCAAACTCACATAGATCCTCCTGTCTCTGCTTCCTAAGTACTGGGATTAAAGGCATGTCCCACCACTGCCCAGTCTAATTCTTCTTTTAAAAATAAAAATAAATTATATAAGATGTTATGTAGATGGATTTTTTTCATAGGACTGTTGGCTCTCCAATAATGACATGGAGACTTATTATTGATTGATAGCTTAGGCTTGTTTCTAACCAGCTCTCTCTCTCTCTCTCTCTCTCTCTCTCTCTCTCTCTCTCTCTCTCTCTCTCTCTATCTATCTATTTTGTTTTTTCTAGGCAGGGTTTCTCTGTGTAGCTTTGTAGACCAGGCTGACCTAGAACTCAGAGATTTGCCTGCCTCTGCCTCCTGAGTGCTGGGATTAAAGACATGCATGACTACCACCTGGCACTAACTAGCTCTTATAACTTAAATTAACCCATATCTGTTCATTTACATGTTGTCACATGATTCTCCTGTGTATCTGTTCCCTCTGTGTCTGCAGGCAACTCCATCTTTCCTCTTCCCAGCATCCTCTCTGCCCTAAAAATCCTGCCTTGCTATTGACCATTCAGCTTTTTATTAAACAAATCAGAGTGACACATCTTCACAGTGTACAAAAAGATTATTCCACGACAATGATATGTCACTTACAGTGCATAGCTGTAAACATGGGTCTTTTCTCAAGCTGTTTCTTACTCAGCAACTAGTCTGACTTACTGAATTGGTATATGAGTACTTGATAGTCTCCCCAAAACCAGTGAACCTGAAGCCTATAGATCAGTCTGTCTCCATTACATATTTCACGTTGTGCTACAATTGTTGTAATTTAAGAAAAGCAGCTCGTGCTCAAGAGAGAAAGATGCCATGCACCACGAGGCAGGGTTCAAGCAGAGGGTTTTTTTCTAATTAGGGAAAGGGATCATAAAAAGGGGAGTGGGGAGACCAGCCTCTGGGGACAGGAGCAGCAGGAGAGAGGAAGGAGGAGCAGAGAGAGAGGGAGGTAGAACAGACAGACAGAGAGGAGGATGGGAAGTGGGCAGGACCCTTTTAAAAGGGAAAGTAGTAAATGTGCACAGGTGGTGCTCTTAGTGACTGCAGCTGAGGGCATACCCTATCAGAACCCCAAGGACAGGCCAGTACAGATGCCTGAATACTAACAACAATGAATGAAGATGTTGTTTTAGTCTTTCCTAGAGGGATCTGTCAAGGACAGGTCCACATGCTCTTGATGCTTACTAAACCTACACAGGAGTCCAAGGGAAACACTCAACATTCACTCTGGGGAAGGTTGCTGAGAAAGAGGAAGGAGGGTTTGTGGATGTGTCCCTGCCCTTTCAGTCAGATTCTTTTTGATATGTAGCATAGTCTTCAGGAATACCTTAAACACGTCACTAAGTGACAGTCTTGATACACAGAATAGAGAGCAAGGGATGCTTCATTTATTTATATAGCAAATATGTTAAAGAATGTCTCTCTTTTTACCTCTCTTTTTCTCTTTTTAAATTGTGTGTGGGTATGTACATATGAAGGTAACTGCATCAGCTCCCCCTAAAGCTGGAGTTAAAGGTAGTTGTGAGCTGTCTGATGTGGGTGATTGGATCTGAACTAGGGCCTCTGCAAGAGCAGCTCATGCTCTTAAACAGTGGGTTTTCTCCCTAGCCCCTTTCAATAAAATTGTGTGTTCATGATCGGGGAGGCATTCCAAGGCAGAAGTCAACTTTGTGGAGTCAATTTTCTGCTTCCTGCTTTACATGGGTTCCAGGGATCATACTTAGATCATCAGGCTTACATGGCAAGCACCTTTACCCATTGACCCATCTCACTGATGCTGTTGAAGACTGGTATGATCAAGGCCTAAACTAGGCAGAGGAAGGAATACCTAGATACCCTTTGCCTTCCAGAATGGTGGGAAGGATATGGTAAACATAGAGAAATACCACACAAAGCAAGATAAAGCTATAAAAATGAAACAAAATTCCGTAAGTGTCTTGAGTCAAAGGACAAACTGGTAGTGCAAAACCAGTAATGACATCATGAAGGAAGAAGCTGCACATTTTGGGGAGCACTAAATAAAGGCTATATAAAGCATACAGAGAATCTGCCCTTTTCCTGTATAACTGAAACACAGGATTCAAAGTGAACCTGAGTGGAGGATAAGTTGTCGCTTTGGGAGAGATCATCAGTTTCAAGTCTGTATTAATGGTCGTCTAGTACAGAGAATGGGGGCAAGAGTGAAGATTGAGATGGAGTTAGAATTGAGGAAGAACAGGAGATCCATCTGCAGGAGGAAAGACTATAATATCATTCACACAGCCCTTCCCTGCTATGCAAAGACGTTTTGTGAGCTTTGGAGTTTCATTTGGCTTAACTCCTTAAAATTCTAAAAAGTAGCTTGGCAGGATGGCTCACTGAGTAAGAAGACTTGCTGCTAAACCCAACAACCTGCATTTGATTATTGGAATCCATGCGATAGGCGGAAAGAACCAACTCCTGAAAGTTGTCCTTTGACCTCCACACCTATGTATGTCATGGCACATGTAGGTGCACACACAGACACAAAATACATATTAAAATTCTGAATGGTAGAATTTTACTTTATAAGGTGTCTGTGTATGCAGTTATTTGTTATTTGCGCCTAGGTTTTCAAAATTCATCTAGTAAATAAAGGGTAATGGCACTTCTTGATATAATATCTTGAGATTGATCCCCTAGACTTATGTAGTATAAGGAAAGACTAAATTGTTCTCTGACCTCCACACATGATGATTATAAACATACAAATAAAATTTTTTTTGGTTTTTCGAGACAGGGTTTCTCTGTATTGTTTTGGAGGCTGTCTTGGAACTCACTCTGTAGACCAGGCTGGCCTCGAACTCACAGAGATCCACCTGCCTCTGCCTCCCAAGTGCTGGGATTAAAGGCGCGCACCAACACCTGGAATTTTTTTTTATCTAACTCGCCAGATGTAGTTCAGTGAGTACAAAATTTGCACTTCCAGTATATATTCTAGCTAATAATTTATTTAAGTACTGGATATCAAATCCAGGGCCTCCACATATACTAGACAGACATTCCCCCCATGAACTACATGCCTAGAGCATGTCTATATGTCTCTAATTGAGTGGTTCTCAACCTGTGGATCATGACTCCTTTGGGAATTAAACAGTCCTTTCACAGGGGTCACTTACTCAGTATCTTGCATATCCGATATTATGATTCAGGACAGTAGCAAAATTATAGTTATGAAGTAGCAATGAAAATAATTTTATGGTTTGAGTCACCACGGATGAAGAACTGTATTAAAGGGTTGCAGCATTAGGAAGGTTGAGAACCACTGCTCTAATCTGACTTGTAAATTAAGAAAGACACTCTGGACAATTTAGCTTGAGGACTACTACTTGTCCAGAGTTCAGAATTTGCTTCAGGGCTTTCAGTAAGCAAAATAGTGTTACCTTTAAAAGGTAAGTTTTCTCTTTTTCCTAAATCCTAAGTAATATTTTGCTAACCATGTTCCATATCTCAATGACTAGCAGTGTCTGAAATAACTTAGGGTAATGCACTGTATCATTTTAAGCATCAAAAGAAGGGAATTTTATAGATGAGGTTTTCTTGTTTTCATTGTATATTGATGCCATATGAGGCGAATGACAAGTGTGCATTTGTACATGTGTTTTGGCAGCCTTAACTAATGAGAATAGCTCTGTCATTGAAGGCTCTGGTTTTATTTTAATTGTGGTAAAATTACTGCCTAAAATCCCATGGCTGTGTCTTTTTAAACAGCAAATGATGAGTCACTCTCTAGAAGAATGTGGTAAATAGAATCAACTAGTCAATTAGTCTCATGCTCTTCTTAAAAAAAATAAGCCTTTGACCCCCTGATGAGTTTGAAGAAATTATTCATTCTGCTTAACCTCAGCACCTTTTAAAGAAACTGTTAGGATCTGTCTTCTAAGTGACTGTTTTCCATAATACCAACCAGCTTTGAAAGAGTTAGTAGACATCCAGCATTCCAAGCACCTGGCCCAGGTTGTCAGGCATCATCGTTAGAGGGTTATTGATGGTAGGAAAGTTGAGGCCCTTCTCTTCCAAAGCTGTCCCTACAGCTTTTATCCAGTTTGATTAAATACTTCCAGTCAGTGGCTACTTTTTCCTGCAATGCTTTGTTTAAATAGGTAAGATTGAGTAAGTTGTACAATAGCTTCATGTTCTGAATAAAAACTGTCAGATGTGCACTCATCACACAGACAAGTGGGAGCAGAACGCTCACCCTCCGCTCTGCTTTGTTCTGAGGATGTGTCTCTTGCAGTAATGAAAAGCATTCAACTGCCTTCATGGCGTACACATGGCACCTGTTTACAAGAAGAAAATGGTTTTGATTATCCTGAATTTTGATTTGAAAAAGCCCTGAGCTGTTTCATAATTGTCTGTGCCTTACATGATTAACCGAGTTTTTTGTGTTTTTCCTTTTTCTGGTTACAGAAATTCATAACCATCAGCCCTGTTCAAAACTTTTTAGGTAAGCCACATGTGAATCCTCATTGAAAAAGTTGTTTGAAACAAGTGAATTTAGGCCTCTAATTAATTATAAGTATAATTAAGGGTACTCAAATCTATTTAAAACTTTTTTCTGTTTTTTTTGTGTGTGCGTCTGTGTTGTTGTTTGTTGCTTGAGAAAAGATCTTGCTGTATAGCCCAGACTAGCCTTGAATTCGTGATCTGCCTTCTCAAGTGCACTACCACACCTGGCTCCAAAATCTTATTTTTTGGATGCTGTGTTTGAGGAATTGTGCTTGAGTGGAAAAGCTAAGCAGGGACATGTAAATCATTGTGTCTGTGATTTAGATTGAGCTTTCCCCTCAACCGCCCTGTCAGGAGTTTTTTACTTAGAGAAAAAAGTTAATCAGAGATTACATATTGATAAAATTATTTATAGAAGTCACATATAGATATAAATTTAATTTTGAGAAAAATTAAAAATATTCAGTGATCAGCTTTTATTTTAAGGAGCCAGGTAGTGGTGGTACATAACTTTAATTCTACCACTTGGGAGGTAGAGGCAGGTGGATCTCTGTGAGTTCAAGGCCAACCAGGCCTACACAGTGAGTGCTTATCTAAAAAAAGATAAAAGGGAACATAAGCATTCCTTTTTGTGTTTAAGTTACTATATACCATTTCTGTAATGTGGCCACTGAAGGACAGAACTTAATGAAAGAGTCATTCTGAAAGAAAACAGCAACAGGAGAGTGACACCTGCAGGGAAAAATGGATTCTCCCAAACCAGCTCCTGCCTCTCTGTCAATGTGGCTGCATGAATGGAGGTCTTGCACATGCTAAGCAAGCCCTCTACCATGGAGCTATATCCCCAGTTGTCAGTCTTCCTTCTTAACCCATACCCTTCCATCTGAGGACTGGTATGTGTATTTCAGAAAACTCCCTGGGCTCTGCATCTTCCCCCTTCCCTCTTGAAGGGCAGGCCAATGCTTTTCTTCCAGTGTGCCCACATAAACATTGCTTGTTATTTGAGACAGGATCTTATTATGTAGCCCTGCCTGACTTAGATTTAGCTGTAAACCATCTACAACCATACCACCCTGAACGCACCTGATCTCGTCTAATCTCGGAAGCTAAGCAGGGTCGGGCCTGGTTGGTACTTGGGTGGGAGAATTAGCTGTAGACCAAGTTGGTTTCAAATTGAAGAGATCCCCCTGCCTCTGCCTCCCACGTGCTGGGATTAAAGATTTGTGCTAATCATGCCCATCTTTTCTTCAGTGTTCTTAATATTCATGTCCTTCCTTCATCCCTTCTAGTCACTTTGTCTGATTCTTCCTATTGTTTGTCTCTTTCTGTCTTCACCCTGACCCCTCTATAAGCACCCACGCTGGGGGACCTCTGTCGTTCTTCACCCTGCACAAAAACCCTATTCCTTAGTTATTTCAGAGATTATCATTAAACAAAGTGACTGTATTTACATGAAGCCACAAAGTAGCCAAGGACCTCAACTCTTTCCATATCTATTTAACTGAAAGAGGAGCAGGGACACCAGATGAGCAGCCATGGGTTCATCTGGAAAGATGATTGTTTTGGTCCACACATTACCTCTGCCTGGCTGTGGATGTGTTCTGCCCTGACTGTCAGAACTTCACTGAACATGCTCTGTCTCTCTCTCCTGAGTAATTCCATAAAACATTGCTGGAACATAACTTTCAGAACAGGAATTTGACTCCTGCTTGGAGCTGAAGGAAATCTTAGAAATCATCTCTTATCTAGAAATCAAACTTCTTACTTTGCAAAACAGGATGAGAAAAGAGCAGGTAGTCTGTCCCAGATCTTGAAGTGAGAACTACAGCTGGGCTAGAGCTGGTGTGGTCTCCTGATCTCCAAGACAGTTCTTTCCCTGTATCCTGAAAGCCTTCCTGCCTTTGGGACCTGGGTGTGTGGTGGAGGAGGATGGCATTTCTAAGACCATAACCAGGGACAAGGACCCTCATGTCACTACATCTGACTGATCTTTTGTTTGTTTTGGAGGTGAGCATGTTGTTTGAAGCTGGCCGGACTTGGTTTCCAGTCCAGTCCATCTGTCACACTAGCTCTGCAGTTTGGACCAGCTGGTTAGCTTTGCTGTCTCTTTCTACAAAAATAGCAGAAAACCTTGTTGAATTGGGACGAACTTATACCTCAGAACGGTGGCTAGCATATATAATGATAAGCATCCAGTGGGGGGTCTGTTAAGCATTGCACAAACGTTCGTTTCCCTTCATTTCTCAGAAAATGAGCTGCTGTTATCTTTTTTTCCACAAGTAATTGATACTTAGAAACAGAGTAGTGGAGCCATTTGAAACCACACATTTTATAATTACTTGATTACTTCCCACACTTGGAAGGAATGTCTTTTGAATGTGGCAATCTCTTGAGTAGTATTTGATACAAAATGTAGCTTCCTATCAAGAAAGCACTTAAGCTGATTTCTGTTTACCAACCTTTGAGAAGAAGCAGTTTCATGTATTAAAGTTAGATGTTCTGTAGGCCCCTGTGGTTATGTGTATGTCACAGTACTATAGCATTTTAATTAATTTTTTTCTTCTTTAAAAAAACAGTTTTTATGATTATGCAAGCAAAGTGAACGAAGAGAGTTTGGACAGAATCCTTAAAGATCGGAGGAAGGTATGTTTTACGTATTGCCTGACTTGATTTGGAAGTCATACATTAGCACACAAAAGGAAGAACAGCTAGAACTCATGATAACCAGTGTGTATTAAGGACTTTCTCTTGGTGCTGGAAATCAAACTCAGGTCTTTGGGCATAACAGGCAAGTGCTCTGCCACTGAGCTATATCTCTGACCCTGTAAGTAGATTTTAAAGGTAAATTACAGATTTGAAACGTTACACTGTATCAACTATTACATAATGTGATCTCATTTATGTAAAATTTGGAAGAAAAAAATTAGCTTTAAGCTAGGTGGTGGTAGGACACACCTTTGATCCCAGCTCTCAAGAGGCAGAGGCAGGCAGATCCCTGTGAGCTCAAGGCCAACCTAGTCTACAGACTTGAGTTTCAGGACAGCCAGGACACAGAGAACTGTCTAAAAAAAAAAAACCCTTTAATACAGAAAATTAATAGTAGTCCAAATGACTCTGGATGGTTCATTCTTTTTAGTTTATAATTTGAAACGTAATTTTGTAGGTTTTTTTTAGTTTTAAAAATATTTTAAACTTACTCAACAATTTCATACATGTATATAGTGTGTGTCTTGATCACATCTACCTCCAACCTCCCCTATTACTCTTAGACCTCTCCCTAACATTTGCCCATTTCATCTTCGTGTCCTGTTTTTATTTCTTGTTTGGTTTATTTTTGTTTTATTTTGGCTTTGGTGGTTTTTTTTGTTTGTTTGTTTTGTTTGTTTGTTTGTTTGTTTTTGAGACAGGGTTTCTCTGTGGCTTTGGAGGCTGTCCTGGAACTCCCTTGGTAGTCCAGGCTGGTCTCGAACTTACAGAGATCTGCCTGCCTCTGCCTCCCGAGTGCTGGGATTAAATGCATGCGCCACCAACGCCCAGCTTCATACACATCAGTTTTAAAAAAACAAATAATGGGTGAAGATATAGCTTAGTGATTAAGAGCACATTTACTCTTTTTTTTTTCCAAACATTTACTCTTGCAGAGGATCTGAGTTCCATTCCCACCACCCACATGCCAACTGCTTAGTTAGGGTTTCTATTGCTGTGATTAAACACCAGGACCAAAATAAGGGTGTATTTCATCTTAAAGTTTGTACTCCATTATCTAGAGAAATCAGGAACCTAGAGGCAGAATTTGATACAGAGGTCATGGAGGACTGCTGCTTCTTGGCTTACTCTTCATGGCTTACTGAAGATGAAGATTTCTGTCCTACCTGGTCCCATATTTGCTTTGCCCCCAAATAAATACATAGATGCTATATTAGTTGTTAAACTGTTGGCTGATGGCTAGGCATTCTTATTGGCTAGGTCTGTCTTTTGCTTTTTGGGTTTTCGAGACAGGGTTTCTCTGTAGTTTTGGAGGCTGTCCTGGAACTTGCTTGGTAGGTAGACCAGGCTGGTCTTGAACTCACAGAGATCTGCCTGCCTCTGCCTCCTGAGTGCTGGGATTAAAGGCGAGTGCCACAAACGCCCAGCGTGTCTAGTTCTGTCTTAATTATTAACCCATTTCTATTAATCTAGGTATTGCCGCGAAGCTGTGGCTTACCCATACATAATCTGGCATGTTGCTCCTTGGACAGCATGGCATTTCTCTGCTGCCTCCTTCTCTCTCCTGACTCTTTCCTCTTGTAGTCTTGCCTATCCTTTCTGCCTGGCTATTGGCCAAACTGTTTTATTCATCAACCATTAAAACCATATATGCAGAAGGACAAACCCCATCAGCTTACTCAACCTGGTTTTTTTTTTTTTTTATAGCACCCAAGACCATCAGCCCAGGGGTGGCACTGAGCTGAACCCTTTCACATCAATCAAGAAAATATATCACACGCTTGCCCACAGGCTAATCTGATGGGGGCATTTTCTCAATTTCGGTTCCCTCTTCTAAAATAACTAACCTTGTTTCAAACTGACATAAAACTGACCAGCGCTGGGCTGTGTGACGCATGCCTTTAATCCCAGCACTCGGGAGGCAGAGGCAGGCGGATCTCTGTGAGTTCGAGACCAACCTAGACTACCAAGCGAGTTCCAGGACAGCCTCCAAAGCCACAGAGAAACCCTGTCTCGAAAAAAAAAAAAATACAATGTGAAGGTCAGAAGACAATTTTATGGAGTCAGTTTTCATGTTCCATCTTTATATGGTATATTAGTTACTTTTGTATGGCTGTGACAAAACACCATGACCAAGCCAACTCATAGAAGGGAATATTTTGGGCTTATGGTTCCAGAGGGTCAGAGTCTGTGATGGCTGGACAGCATGGCATCAGGCAGGCATGGAAATGGAAACAGCTGAGAACTCACATCTTAGACTTAACAGGAAACAGATAGAATGAGAATGTCATGTGGCTTTTGAAACTTCAAAGCCCCCAGTGACACACTTCCTTCAGCAAGGCCATATACCCACTAAGCCTCCCCAAACAGCACCAACAACTAGGGGCTAAGTATTCACATGTAATAGACCTATGGGTTACGTCATTCAAACCACCACACATGAGTTCCAGGGCTTGGGTTTCAGGGTTTGCACAGCAAACACCTTGCCTAAGTGCCATCTCACCAGTCCTCCACACACACAAGAAAAAAATTTTTTAAAGGAGAGAAGAAAGGAAAAACAGAAAAGAATAGGTAAGTTATTAGATGTAAAAAGAAGTCTATAATAGCCAAGACACACATGAAAGGAATTCTGCCTCAACCAAAACCACAAATTTAAATAAAGCTGTACCATCACATTGGCACAAGATTAGACGACTCAGCACTGACATGGTGGGAATGAAGAGTGAGTGGTTGGTGAATGGAAATTAATGCAAGCATTTGGCAGGCAGATTTTGTTTGTTTTTGAGACAGGGCCTGCAATAGTCCAAGCTGGGTTTGAACTTGCGGTGTAGCTAATGCTAAACTTCCAATCCTGTGCCATTCTAGTGCTGGGATTACAGGCATGAGCCACAGCACCTCATTTATGTCATTCTGAGGCTCTAACCCAGCGTTTGGTGAATGCTAGACAAGCTTTTTACCAACTAAGCTACTTCCCCACCCCCAAGAAGAGTGTTTATAGTAAGTTTTAAGTATATAGCCCTGGCTTTAGAAATGTGACCCAAGAGAAGAATTATACTAACAGCTGGAATTACTGAAAATTTAAACCTGCCAGACTATGTTCTAAGCCCTTACCCTTACCATGTATTGACACACTCCTGCTGTAGCCTGTGAGACAAATCACTCATTTGACATTTTAAGCTACTCAAGTAATTTGCTTAAGACTCTGGTGATTAATGATTGAACAAAGGCTTATACCAAAGTCTACTTACTGTCATGATCCCATGTACAAGGAAATTTGTTGTTTCACTCTTTTAAAAGCTATCTATATATTCACTGGCAGGGAATGATTAGATCAAGTTGATTACATTCATATATCATACTATGGAACTTGAAGCAGCCATTAAAAAGAATGGGGGAGGAACCAGAGAGATGGGTCAGCAATCAAGAGCACTGGCTGCTCTTGTAGAAGACCTGGATTTGATTCCTAGCATACACATAATGGTTCACGACCACTTATAACTTCAGTTCCAGGGAGTCCATTGGCCTCTGAGGGCACCAGACACACACATGATGCACAAACATATATGCAGGCAAAACACCCTTACCCCCCCAAAAATATATTTTTTTTAAGAAAAAAGAAAATGGGAGGTCTTTATGCAATAACAGATCTCTAATTTATATTAAGTGAAAAGAGTAGGAGGTTTGTTTTTATGTGTGTTTTATTACATTTATTTTTTGCACACACATGATATGCATACATACGCATGTACCCACAGCACATGTGTAGATCAGAGGACAACTTGTAAGAGCAGTTCTCTCGATCTGTGGGTTCTGGGAATCAAACTGGGGTCCTCAAATTTGGTGCCTTTGCATTGTTTTTTGTTTTTTTGGTTTTTTTAGTGTGAAAGTAAATGTGAGCCTCATGCATTCTACCACCCTACTACTGAACTAGTCCCAGAAGAAAACAGTGTTCTATGTAGCTTGATGTAGTTTGAATGAAGGGTTTTAAGGCACAAAAAATCATCTTGTTGGAATTTTGTAAAGATTTTTCACTCTTTCTTTTTCTTCTTGCTTTGATCTTTCAAAGACAGGGTTTCTCTGTGTAGCCCTGGCTGCCGTGGAACTCACTCTGTAGACAAGGCTGGCCTCAAACACAGAGATCACCTGCCTCTGCCTTCGCCTACCAAGGCATGTGCCATCACCACCTGGCTAAGACATTTTTTCAAAAGTAAAGACGATATATAATTTTTAAATGACAAAAGAGCTTTATAGTTTATTCTTATTTGGGTGCACCCCCATCCAGGAAAGGCATGAAACTAAACTTTCACCTCAAAAGAGTGTGCTACCTACAGAGGAGCACTTAAAATGTTATGGTTGAGAATAGAACTAATGTGGGTTTTTTTTGTTTGTTTTGTTTTTGTTATTGTTTGTTTTGCTACAAAAATCTCATATTGGGCAGGGAGAAGCCTCTGTGGATAAAGGACATGCCTTGCAAGTGTAAGGACAGGAGTTCAGGGTCCCATAGCTGAATGGTATGCTAGAGAGATGGCTTTTGCAGAGAACTGGGGTTTGGTTTCCAGCACCTACAATGATAACTCACAATTTATAATTCCAGTTCTGGGAATCTGATCCCCCCCTTCTGGCTTCCACTGGCACTGCACACATGTGAACACTTTACATTTTGCACAGGCAAAACACTCATTAAAAAATAGTAAGGGAAGCCAGGTGGTGGTGGCGCACATCTTTAATCCCAGCACTCGGGAGGCAGAGGCAAGCGGATCTCTGTGAGTTCAAGACCAGCCTGGTCTACCAAGCAAGTTCCAGGACAGCCTCCAAAATAATACAGAGAAACCCTGTCTCGAAAAACAAAAACAAACAAATAATAAGTAAGTAAAATGTTAAGGGAGTTTGAGGTCAACCTGGTCTAAAGAACTGGCTCCAGGATAGCCAGAGCTACACAGAGAAACAAAACTCTGTCTTGAAAATAAAAGAATAATAGCAAGGACTAGAAAAATAGCTCCACAATTAAAAGCATTGCTTAGTTGCTCTTCTCAGAGGACCTGTGATTTTGTTCCCATGGTAGCTCACAACTTTCTGTAATTATAGTTCCAGATGAATCATTGCTCTCTTCTGGCTTCTGTGGGTACTATAACACACATGATACACATAGATACATGCAGGCAAACACTCAGATACATATAAAATAAATTAAATGTTTAAAAAATAATAATAAATCTTAATACACACACAGAACAGGTTGGGAGTAGTAGCTACCTGTAATTCCAGATGTAAAGTAAAGACAGACCAAGTTGGCTACCTAGGATTTCTGGTCCAGTGAGAGAGCACACTTCAATATAGAAAGATATATGGATTCAATCTTAGAAAACTTCATATATATGTGCATATGTGCACATGGACTTGTACACTATGCTCCCACATACATATGCAGCACATGTATACATAGATCTGCTTTTAAAAATCTTTAGTAGTGTACAGTTCTAACAGAATACATACTGTGCTTACAAAGTTTCCACAGGCCTCAGGTTTTAGGTTAAGACAAGCATGTGGGTGAGATTTTGTGTGAAATCAAAGCATTCTTTATGAAATAGACAGTAACAGGCATAACAGCTTCTCAGTAACATTGTAAGGACTAAAAGAAAGTTGGTCAGTGTGCCCAAATGTCAGTGGATACTGAGGCATGAGGAGAAAGCCTGTGAAAACTCAATTATGAAATGTTACAAAGTTTAGAGAGAGAGATCCCTAATTCTTCATTCTGGCCTAGATGCAACCATCCAAAATGTGCTTTGTAGTACTGGTGACCTATATTCTCAGTGAACTTGAAACTAGCTTGTCTACTAACCCAAAAATACAGAATTGTAAACATCACCAGTATGAATTTGGCATCTTCGCCTTCACTCTCTAGAGTGATAAGAGAATTTGGTTTAAAACTGTTAGCAAGCCTGGCAGTGATGGTGCATGCCTTTAATCCCAGCACTTGGGAGGCAGAGGCAGGTGGATCTCAGTGAGTTCAAAGTCATCCTGGTCTACCAAAAAAAAAAATGTCAGCGAATGTCAAAATCATCTTTTTTTTAAAGTATGGATTTTGTATTAAGGATTGCTTAATACTATAGAGGAAGTAGACAAATAGAATAACTTTACGATTACCAAGCGGTGGATCTGAGAGGAGTTAGAGTGAGGAGTGGGGAATGAATGTGATCATGTACACAAGTATGAAGTTCTCAGAGAAGTATTAATAGTATATTTAAAAAAGAACAAGGCTCACTCGGGAGGCAAAGGCAAGTGGATCTCTGTGAGTTCGAGACAAACCTGGTCTACCAAGCGAGTTCCAGGACAGGCTCCAAAACAATACAGAGAAACCCTGTCTCAAAAACCAAAAAAAAAAAAAAAAAAAAAAAAAAAAAAGAACAAGGCTAAAAATTAACAAACAACAGATCTAATAAAAGCTAAAAATCTTTGATCATTGAATTTATCTTTCTATATGGCTGTGTATACACATGCTCTTGGAGGGGGGGGTGTTGAGACAGGGTTTCTCTGTGTAGTCCTGGCTATTAAGGCTGGCCTTAACTCAGAGATCCACTTGCTTCTGCCTTTCAACTAAAGGGGTCTGCTGCCCAGCCTCGCATGCTTTTTTTTTTTAATTAAAAAACAAAGTATGTTTATTCATCAACAATGGTATAATTTAGACTTAAATAACATGAAATGAAAAACAAACAAATTTCTAGATATTTTCAAATTCCTGGCATGTTACTATTGAGATTCTGGACAATAAATCAGTATTCCCAGGTGTTGTAATCTTAAAAAGTGGTTCCAGAAAGAAAGATGCCATGTGACAGAGCTTGAGTGGAGAGAAGGGAGACTGGCCTCTGGGGACAGAAGCAGCAGGAGAGAAGAAGGAGGCAGAGAGAGAGGAGAGACAGAAAACAGGCCGAGAAGCAGAGAGAGAAAGATGGGAGGTGGGCAGGGCCTTTTTAATCACCTGCAAACCTGTCTCTTGACCCCACTTCCTATCATTTCCTCTTCACACACACCCCTGCCCTGTCTGTGTCAGCCTCTGAACTGCTTTTGTCAGGACTTCTTGAATTTTCCATTTACAAACCCTTCTTGTTAAAATTTTTTTGCATGACCCTGGATGTACAGACCAGACATTTACTGATAATAGCTCACAAAGAAATTACTTTTAAGACAATTCATTGGTACACATATAATTTTATTATTTATTGACAATGCTTCCTACTGAGATAATGTCCTTATTTATTTTTACATAAGGAATTAACCTTTGCTAGACATTTAATACTGTGGAGCATAGGAATCTTCAATATATTTCAAATTGATCGGTCCTTAGGTTCCATAATCCTTAAGGCTGAAAAAGCAGCTTCACATGACTATGTGAAAAATAGCATTACATAGTATTACAAATATTATTGAATATTCTGTCTTAATCCAAACCAAATTCCTTCAGTGATTTTTTTTTTAAATTAAGCCCAAGTCAGCAATTAAAAAACATATTCTAACACAGTTCAATTCAAAGATACACAGGTTTGGTATTTAGGCACTGAGAGATGATAATAGAAAATGTTGTTTCGTTTTCCATAACTTAAACTACTACATTTCTACCAGAGCTACAAGCTTTGTCTATGCAGTTCATGGGAAACGCCAGTGTGGAATGAGAGCTGAAGTGCTTCTGGCAGCATCTATGGCATGGTGTGCAGCATGTGCTGTGCCTGTGCTGCATGTGCAGTGCCTGTGCTGCGTGTGCAGTGCCTGTGCAGTGCCTGTGCTGCGTGTGCAGTGCCTGTGCAGTGCCTGTGCTGTGCTGTGTTCAGAAGCCAGGTTGTGGTGAAACCTTGCAGTGTGGCATTCTAGAGTGCTGCCACAGGCATCTCAGATCTATCATGTGTGTGAGTGTTTGTGTCCCTGTGTGTATACACACTCATTGTGCAGTCATTTTGTGCCATATCACAGAAGTAAAGGTCAGAAGGTAATCCAACCCATGTGAGTCAACTTTTTTCTCTACCATGTACGTTCTGGGTATCAACTCAGATTAGCAGCCTAGGGGGCAAGCACCTTTACCTGTTTGAGCCATCTTTCCAGCCCTATGTATTTGATTTTGAATTGATTTTTGGTCATTTCACATTCAGAAACTTTTTACTGTTACCAATTTTTTTTTAACCTCACATTCAATTATGTGGCCCCATATGGGGTCATGACATAGTGCAAGAAGCTATAGTATATGTCACTACAGATTCATTTTCTAGACTTTATACTAATAAAAATCCTTTTAGCATATGCTCTCCACACCCTTGTGTAGTTATTTTGAGATTCCTCCATGATGATTTGTTCCTTTTTATTACAGCATATGATTCCATTGTACTACAGTTTACCCAGTTTATCCATTCACTTGTTCACAGATGGTTGTTTTTAGTTCTGTTCCTTTGGATGAGTTCTGAATTAAATAAGCTCTTAATACCTTCTTCTGTTCTTATTGCAGAAAGTTATCGGGTGGTACAGATTCCGTCGAAACACCCAGCAGCAGATGTCGTACAGAGAGCAGGTTATCCACAAGCAGCTCACCCGCATCCTCGGTGTGCCAGACCTTGTCTTCCTTCTCTTTAGCTTCATCTCTACCGCCAACAATTCTACTCATGCTTTAGAATATGTTCTCTTTAGACCAAATCGAAGGTAAAGAAAGCTTCCCGCCAGCTGTACGTAAAAAGAAAGATCCTGGGCCTCAGGGGAGGGCTCAATGGGTAAAGCAAGCGTGAGGACCTGAGTTTGGCTCCCTGGCACCTATGTAAAAGTTGGGCATAGCAACCTTCATCTGGGTCCCCAGAGGCTTGCTTACCAGTTAAATGAAGTAAAATAGTTTGGGGATTGATAAAGAGAAAAACAACACTATGTGACCATGTTTGCTACTTGTGAATTACAGAAAGATTTCCCTCTGGAAATGTGCTCGTAGGATCAGTAGTCAACATCAGTGAAATAGTTATTTTTTTTAATATTTATTTTTTTTCAGTTTTATCTGCATTGGTGGGAAGGTGTCAGATCCCTTGGGACTGAAGTTACAGTTATGAGTCACCATGTGGGTGCTGGCAATTGAACCCAGGTCCTCTGAAAGAGCAGCTCTTAACCACTGAGCCAACTCTCCAGCCCCCAGTGAAATATTTATTGATAGAAGGAAGCCTGCTGTCAACCTTACCCTTTTGTTTTGGTTTTTTTTTTTTTTTTTTGGTTTTTACGAGACAGGGTTTCTCTGTATTGTTTCGGAGGCTATCGGTCCAGCCCGGCCTCGAACTCACAGAGATCCGCCTGCCTCTGCCTCCCGAGTGCTGGGATTAAAGGCGTGCGCCACCACCGCCCGGCTCTTGGATTTTGTTTTTAAGGCAGGGTCTTGCTCTGTAGTCCAGATGACCTGAAATTTGCTATGTAGACCAGGTCAGCCTTTAACTTGGGATGATCTTCCCCAAATTGCTGTTTGATTTTTTTGAGATAGGGCCTCCCTGTGGATGAATCCCTGACAGACCTGGCACTCACCCTGTAACTCAGAACTAGCCTGCATAGCTAAGAATGACCTTGAACTTCTACCCCTCCTGCCTCTACCTAGGGAATACCAAGATTACAGATGTGTGCCACCACACCTGGTTCATGTGGTGCTGTGTACTGAGCCCAGAGCTTTGGGCACTCATCCAGCTGAGCCACAGCCATCAGTCTCAATCCTTTACGTTTTGTTTGTTTGGGGATTTTTGTTGTTGTTGTTTGAGACATGGTTTCTCTATGTAGCCTTGGCTGTCCTGGAACTCACTCTGTAGACCAGGTTGACCTTGAACTCGCAGATCCGCCTGCCTTTGCCTCCTGAGTGCCGGGAGCTACCACTGCCCGGCCCCTGTATGTATTTCTATGTGTACATTGACTGCATGCCTGATGCTGGCAGAGGCCAGAAGAGGGTGTTGGATCCTCTGGAACTGAAGTTACAAACTACAGTGAGCCATCATGTGGGTATGGGGAATCAGACCTGTTAATTCCAATTCTTAAATAAATACTTTTAAAACTGAGAATGGTGACAAATACTGTAAACCCAGCAATGAGGTACTGAAGGAGCAGAGTGTTTGAGCCCATGAGTTCAACACTTAACTAGGCAACATAGCAGTAGAGCCAGGTATGGTGGCATATGTCTGTAATCCCAGCACGTGGAAGGCTGAAGCAGGCAGAATGTGCAATTGAAGCTGGCTTAGGTTACACAGTGAGACCCTGCCTCAGACAAACAAAGAAATGTACTTATTACGTGCTATTTTTTCTTAATTTCCTCACAGGTATAATCAAAGGATATCACTTGCAATCCCCAATCTAGGCAATACCAGCCAACAAGAGTACAAAGTGTCTTCAGTGCCAAACACTTCGCAAAGTTATGCCAAAGTTATTAAAGAGCATGGGTAAGTTGAAAGGTGAAATGAGTTCTTGTCAACAGTATTTTAATTATTATTTTTTAAAGGGTAAGGAGAAGTGTAAAATCAAGTTTATTTTAGCTGAAATGAAAGAAAACAGACAAGTCTCTAGACTACCACCACTATCGTCACATATATCAGAATGCGTTCTTTTTTTTTTTTTTTTTTGGTTTTTCGAGACAGGGTTTCTCTGGAACTTGCTCTGTAGACCCCGCTGGCCTCGAACTCACAGAGATCTGCCTGCCTCTGCCAGCCAGGTGCTGGAATTAAAGGTGTGCGCCACCAATGCCTGGCTCAGAATTTGTTTTTAATAAACTATTGAAATGATCCCTATAGCTGAGTAGTGGTGGCACACACCTTTAATCCCGGCACTTAGGAGACAGAGACAGGTGGATCTCTGTGAATGTCTCTACAGAGTTAGTTCCAGGACAGCCAAAAAAAAAAAAAAAAAAAAAAACCAAAACCAAACTTGTCTTAAAAAAAAAAAGACAGAAGAAATGATCCCTGAAGCTGAATATGGTAGCTCACACCTGCAATCCCAGCACTTGAGAGGCTGAAGCAGGAGATGGTCATAAATTCAAGGCCAGCTTACAGAATTAAGTCCCTTCCTCAAAAAACAAAAACAAAAACAAAAAACAACAACAAAACAAGCCTGCTCTGTAGCAAATGGTAGGAAGCAGAGGCAGTGGATTTCTGTTACATTCCAGGATAGCCTGAGCTGCATAGTAAGACCCTGTTCCAAAAAGATAAAAATATATCTAAACAACTGAAGCTGGAGATAGTTCAGTGGTGACTAAGTATTTGCTGTGCAAGAATGAGGTCTGAATTTGTATTCTCATGTAAAAATGCTGGGTAGGAGGCTGGAGAGAGATGACTCAGCAATTAAGAGCAATGATTGCTCTTGTAGAAAACCTGGGTTCTATTCCCAGCATTCACATAATGGCTCACAACCATTGTAACTCCAGTCCTACGGGATCCAGTGCCCACTTTTGGACCCTGAAGATACCAGGCATACATATGGTTCATAGACATACATGCAAATAAAACATTCCTACACATAAGACAAATTAATTAATTAAAAACAAAAAACTGAGCTGGGCAGAGCATATTTATGACCCCAGCACTAGGAGCACAGAAATAGGCAGGTGCTTGGGACTTGCTGATCAGTCAGCAAACATCCAAAATGGCAAATCCCAGGTTCTGTGAGAGACTCTGTCTCAAACAATAAGGTGGAGAGAAATAGGAGGACACCTGACAGTGGCCTCTGGCCCCCCAGAAGCATGCACATTGGAGTGCCCCTTTATGGAAATGTGAATAAACATGCATGTATGTACACCTTCACACACACACACACACACAAGAATTCCTGAAAGTTTTTTTTTTTTTATGTATGTATACAGTGATATATTCCTGTTCACCAGAAGAGGGCACCAGATCTTATTACGGATGGTTGTAAGCCACCATGTGGTTGCTGGGAATTGAACTCAGGACCTCTAGAAGAACAACCAGTGCTCTTAACTTCCGAGCCCTCTCTCCAGTTCCCCTTTTTTTTATTCTTATTGAGGAGATAATTTTACTGTGTTGTCTCTCAGATTGTATTTTTTATTTTTTAAAAGATTTTTAAAAAATTGTGCATGTGAATGTTTTCCTGGATGTCTATATGTGCACTGTGTGTACAGTGCCTGAGGAGACCAGAAGAGAGCATTGGATCCTCTGAAACTAGAGTTATGGGTGCTCTGGTTTGTGGTGTGCAAACTGGGAAATGAACCCAGGTCCGCTGCAAGAGCAGTGAGTGCTTGTAACCTTTGAGCTGTCTCTCCAGCTGCTTTTCTCAGGTTTTAAAAAGAAAAACAGCCAGATGTGGTTAGTTGTATATGCCTTTAATCCCAGTACTTGGGAGGCAGAGGTGAGTGGATATTTATTTTAGTTCCAAGACAACCAGGACTTCAGAGCAAGTTTCAGATCAGCCAGGGCCACCTAGAAAGACCCTATCTAAAATTAAAAATAATTTAAAAAGAGAGATAAACATAGTTACTGGAAAATGTTCTTTTTTAATTGGTGTTGTATTTTTTATTTCTCTTCTATAACTCTAGTAGGATTAGCATATTATTGTTAGATGGTGTCACCTTTGAGTCACAGCATGTAATTAATACTGTGAGATAGGACTGATAACAAAAATGTCTCTCATGTTCATGGTGATTTTAATATTTTGACATCTTTTTTCTGTCCTCTAGTACTGACTTTTTTGACAAGGATGGAGTCATGAAGGACATTAGGGCAATTTATCAGGTTTATAATGCACTTCAGGAGAAAGTACAGGTAACTGGTATTTCCATCTTATTATTTATTTGTTTGTTTGTTTGTTTGTTTTGGTTTTTCGAGACAGGGTTTCTCTGTGGCTTTGGAGGGTGTCCTGGAACTAGCTCTTGTAGACCAGGCTGGTCTCAAACTCACAGAGATCCGCCTGCCTCTGCCTCCCGAGTGCTGGCATTAAAGGCGTGTGCCACCACCACCCGGCTCCATCTTTTTAAAATATGTATCTTTTAATGGCAAATGAATAGCTGTGGCTCAGAAGTCATAATTGGTGTCTGGAGAAATGGCTCTTCCTGAGGACCCAGCTTCGATTCCCAACATCCACAAGGTAGCTCATAACTGGAATCTGTGACTCCAGCTCCAGGGTATCCAGCACTCTCGCACAGATAACAAATGTGCACATCAAATTTTTTTTAAAGTCAGAATGGATTTTGCTAAGATAATGTCTGATGTCAGTCTACAAATCCTGCCTGTGTGCTGAGGTAGAAGCACTGAAGTAATTTATGAATGCTGCTTCTTAGAATACTTACGACCCCTTTTCAGTTGTGCTTTTTATGGGAAGTTCATCTTCAAAATTGAGTTTACAAAGGGGTGCTAAGAACACAGTTGTCTCTGTCAGTTATATTCTTAGGAGAGACAATGTCAAAAGCCTATGCTCTGGTTAGTTCTGCCTCCATCTAGTTTGTTCATTTTCCCCTAAGCTGCCTCTGTGGAGTGAGCAGTGGAATCTGTTTCTTCCTAGTCATTCATGCAACCAATATTTACGGTACCACCTCCAACTGCATGCTGACAGTGATTCCCACTGCACTTACATTTGAGAGCTAGAAGAAAAGTGGCAAAGTTGGAACTCTCAGAGGCCTGGGAAAGACCCCAGACAATAGAGGGAGGAGTGGAGGCAGCATCTAAAAGGGGGAAAGCCTTCGTGAGAGGACAAAGCAGTTTCCAGGGCCTGTGTTCACTGGATACTTGGAAGTGGAGGGAACACAGTTCACGCTCACTGATGCTAGACTGGCTTTCTGGAAGTTTCTGGCATTTCTGCTATCGGAGGAATGTGCAGTGAAAAAAAGCTTTGTCCCAAAAATCATGACCGTGGCCTTTCAGACCATTAGCACTAACCAAACGACTTCTAAATGGTATCACACATAACCTTCCTGATTAAAGGTCAGCTCTCAGTGGTTATTGGTAGCTGAATTACAGACATTCAAACCTCAACTCTAAAACTTACTTTCTTTTCCAGATTTCCGTATCATAAATAAATCTGTCTTATCTGCTTTTTTAAATTTTTATTTTTATGCATATGGATATTTTGCCGGTGTGTGTGGATGTTTTGCCTGTGTGTATAGATATGTGCCATATGCATGCATTGCCTATCAAGACCAGAAAAGGGCATTAGTTCCCCTGGACCTTGAGTTATAGATGGTTGTGAGCCACCATTTGGATTCTGGGAATCAAACTGTAGTCCTTTGGAAGAACAGCCTGTGCTCTTAACCTCCTAACCATCTCTCCAGCACATCTTACCCTGTTTTTAATTGTTGGTTAGAAATGAATATTGAAAACATCCCATTCCAGGCTTATCTTTTATTCTCCCTTCCTTTATAAGCTAGACTGGTACCAAAAAAAACTAGTTTTGTTCCAATAAAATTGATTAAGCAAGGGTAGAAATTCTATTTTTCCTATCCTTGCCTTTTTAAAAGATTTCTAAGCTGAGTTGCACAATCATCTTAAAATGATTAAAATTAAGAAAGCAAGTTAATGATGAATAACAGTCCAATGGGGCTGGAGAGATGACTCAGTCAGTCAAGTGCTTGCTGTACAGCCATGAAGACCTGAGTTGGTCCACACACCTGCATGAAACACTTGAGGATGGGCTGGAGAGATGGTCAGCATTTCAGAGCACTTGGTGCTCTTGCAGGGGCCAGTGTTTAATTGTCAGCATCTTTTCTGGTGGCTCACAACTGCAGTAACTCCAGTTCCAGGAGATCCAACACCCTCTTCTGACTTCCAGGACACCCACACAAGCACATACATACACATAAATAAAAATAAATCTTTTTATTTTTTTATTTTTTATTTTTTGGTTTTTCGAGACAGGGTTTCTCTGTAGCTTTGGAGGCTGTCCTGGAACTCACTTTGTAGACCAGGCTGGCCTCGAACTCACAGAGATCCGCCTGCCTCTGCCTCCCGAGTGCTGGGATTAAAGGCGTGTGCCACCAACGCCTGGCTAAAAATAAATCTTAAAGACGTTGGGTATGGTGACATACACCAGCATCAGAGAGGCAGAGACAGGCGAATCCCTGGAGCTACTTGACCAACCAGTGTAGCCTACTCAGTGAACTCCAGGCCAATGAAAAACTCTGTCAAAAACAACAACAACGAAATCATATAAATCTGGCAACCTAAGTTTGATCCCTGGAACACTCTTAAAGGTGGATGAAGAAAACTGACTTCATAAAGTTTCCCTCTGACCTCCACAACATGAGGTCATGGCACATACACACATGCCCGTGCTTGTGTGCATGAGTGTGTGCGTGCCTGTCTGTGTGTCTGTGTGACTATGTGTATGTGAATGCAAGAGTCCACAGAGACCAGAGAATTCCATTGAGCTCAGGTTACAGGCAGTTATGAGTCATCGAGGGTATAGGAACCAAATTCAAATCCTCTGCAAGAGCAATCCTGCTTTTAACCACTGGGCTATCTCTCTAGCCCCCTAATGATAATAAATTTTTTAAAGATGACTAAAACTGACTCCTTATTGTATTGATTAATATAATATAGGTTTTAGGACACCACCTTAAAAAAAAGCCATCCTGGTCTACAGAGTGAGTTCCTGGTCAACCTCCAAAGCAATACAGAGAAACCCTGTCTTGAAAAACCAAAAGACCAAACCAAACCAAACCAAAAAAAAAAAAAAAAAAAAAAAAACAAAACAGGAAAACCTTATTAGAATCAGCCTTATTAAAATCCCAGCAGTTAAGAGCACTGGCTGCTACTCTTCCTGAAGACTGAGGTTCAATTTCCAGAAGGCGCACAACACCTGTAACTGTGTTTCCAAGGGATCTACACTGTCTTCTGGCCTCCAAAATCACCAGGCACTGAAATCATCCAAATTAAACAGGCAAGGTAGAGCAGACTTGAGTGCCCACGATAACAGGCTGCCTTCCCCCACTCTTCTTTTTTAAACATATTTTATTTATTTACTGTGTATACAGTTTTCTTTCTACATGCCAGCAGAGGGCACCAGGTCTCGTTTAAGGTGGTTGTGAGCCACCATGTGGTTGCCGGGAATTGAACTCAGAACCTCTGGAAGAATAGTCAGTGTTCTTAACCTCTGAGCCATCTCTCCAGCCTCCCCCGCCCCACACACACTCTTTTTGGTTTTTCGAGACAGGGTTTCTCTGTATTGTTTTGGAGACTGTCCTGGAACTAGCTCTGTAGACCAGGCTGGCCATGAACTCACAGATACCTGCCTGCCTCTGCCTCCCGAGTGCTGGGATTAAAAGCATGTGCCACCACTGCCCAGCTTTTCTGGGATTTTAACAAGGCTGAATTTATAGATTACCTCCTGCCTGATTTGAAGCTAACCTTCTTATGGTTTTATTTTCCCCCTCAGGCAGTGTGTGCAGATGTAGAAAAGAGTGAGCGAGTTGTTGAATCTTGTCAGGCAGAAGTGAACAAATTAAGAAGACAAATCGCACAGAAGAAAAATGAAAAGGAACAAGAAAGAAGTAAGCTTCTGACTAAGTCTACCATTCCATATTAGAGAAGTGGTTTTGCTCCTTGGGGTGGGATACTGAGAACTGAACATAGACTTTCCCATAGTACTTTGCCACTGAGCTACACTCCAGCCCCCCTTTTGTACTGAATTTATTTTATATTTATTTTATATACTGTCTGACTATACATTCATAGGAGGCTTGAAACTCACTCTGTAGATCTGGCTGGGCTCTGCCTTGAGATCTGCTCCCCAAAGCCTCTCAAGTGCTAGGATTACAAGTGTATGCTTCCATACCTGATGAGAGCTGTTTTCTTCCATGAGATCCACATGACTCTACCTGCTGAGTATTAGGATTAAAGTCATGTGCTACCAAACCCAGCTTGACTTTCTGTTTATTTTTGATTTTGTATTTATTTGTTTGTAGTACCTGTGGGAGGTCAGGTTGTAAGTATTGGTTCTCTTCTTCTAGTACATAGTCCAGGTTATTGAACTCATATTGTCAGGCTTGGAGATCAGGACCTTAATCTATTGCATCATCTCTCTGGCCCTACTTTCTATTTTTGAGACAATATTCCTAAATTGTCCAGACAGGCTTTGAACTTGTATAAGTCAAGGAAGACATCAAACTTGTGATCTTTCTGCCTCAGTCTCTAAAGGATCTAGAATTTTTGGTGTGTTTTGGGGGTTTTGTTTGTTTGTTTTTAGAGATAATGTTTCTCTTTGCAATCCTGGCTGTCCTGGAACTATGGTCTATAGACCAGACTAGCTTTAAACTCAAATCCACCTGCCTCTACTGGGATTAAAAGCATGTGCCACCATGCCCAGCTCAAAGTATCTAGAATTACAGATCTTGTTACCTGGCTAAACTATTCATTCTTTAATTATCAAATTATCCTTTCAGTAACATGAGACCATTCAGAAAACCTCCCTTAATTAATTCCTATGTTTATGAGGAGGGATCTCATATATCTCAGACTAGTCTTGAACTTTCTCTGTAGCTGAAGATAACCTCAAATTTCTGATTCTCCTGATTTTTCCCTACCAAGTACCAACACTACCACACTTTTATGTAGTGGTGGGGACTGAATCCCAGGCTTTGGGCGTGTTAACCAAGCTCTTTATCCACCAAGCCATATCTTCAGCTGTACTAAGCAAGAACCAGGTTCACATGATGGAGGGAGGACATCCCCTTGTCATCAAACATTTAATGATAGGCGCTTTTTTTCATGGTATTACTCAAGTTTCTGAAACTTAAAATAAGAGGACCAGAGAGAAAAGCTGAAGCAGAAGTTAGAGCAGATCTAAGAAATTTGGTGCAGATTTTTGTGTGTATTGACAATATCATCTATTTCTAGCAACCATGAAGTTGCTACCAGGCTAACCATAGCATGCTGCACATACCAGGATTGTGTCCTATGTTCATTATAGCCTCTTAAAAAAGACACGTAAAATTCTCAGGGGCTGGAAAGGTGGCCTAGCAGCTAAGACATCTTGCTGCTGCTGAGAGGACTAAGTTGGTTCCCAGCACTCATATACAGTAGCTCACGACTACCTGTAGTTCTAGTTACACTGGATCCAGCATCCTCTTGGACTCCCTTGGGCACTTTTATGCAAGTGGTAGACACAGACACAAATACACATTCAAAGAAAAGCAGTATGGTATGGTATTTGAAAGGAAACTGTCTAAGTTATGTTCCATATTCATGTGACTTATAAAGGTGGTGAGGATGGTGTTTAGTGTCAGCTGGTAGTCTCAAATTTTTTAGCACAATGGGCAACAGGTAGGCAGAATAACACATAATTTATAGTGACAAACCTATGTTTTACATCTTGGGGTTACACTTCTAGTCAGATTGCCTGGATTTTCAACTGTTTTCTTGTTTGTTTGGTTTTGGTTTTTGAGACAGGGTCTTGCTGTATAACGATGATTGGCCTGGGACTTAATATGCAAATAAATGGATGTATAGAGAAATCATTTACAAATATTAGTAACAATCACTTCACAACTGACCATTTCCAAAACATTCAGGCTGACCATTTAATGGGGTGGAAGTAAAAGTTGTGAAGGTGGAGAACTTGTTAAAATATTCTTCCTGTTTCCATGCAGGATTGCAGCAGGCCCTATTAAGCAGACAGATGCCATCTGACAATCTGGAGCCAGCATTCAGCCCTCGGATGTCCTATTCTGGGTTTACAGCTGAAGGGAGAAGTACTCTAGCAGACACTGAACCCTCTGATCCTCCTCCCCCATATTCTGATTTCCACCCAAACAATCAAGAAAGTACTCAGAGCCATTCTCGAATGGAAAGGAGTGTCTTCATGCCTCGGCCTCAGGCTGTGGGCTCTTCCAACTATGCTTCCACCAGTGCCAGACTGAAGTTCTCTGGAAGTGGAGCAGATCTTCTTCCTTCCCAGAGAGCAGCTGGAGACAGTGGGGAGGAGTCAGACGACAGTGATTATGAAAATTTGATTGACCCTGCAGAGTCCCCTCATAGTGAATCCTCACATTCAAAGAATTCACGGCCCGTGACACATCCCGATGAGGACCCCAGGAACACTCAGACCTCCCAGATTTAAGTAAACAGATGACACTCTCTCCACTTGGCTTTTCTTAATGGCTTATTGAGAGTTTGTTGAGGACTTAATCTGTGGGGAGAACTGCTTTCTCAGATGCCGTGACTCCCGAGTGGGGCACCCCATGCACAGAACCCCCAGAATCCTCTGTCCGCCAGTCCTCACCTCTGGGTGCAGTGCATGGGTTCACAGCAGAATCATTACGATAATCAAATTGTCCTAATTCTGGTGCGATTCATGGATGTACTAGTAAATTTAGGCAGAGTGAAACTCCTCAGTGTAGTCTGTTCTTTAAGATAAATTGGAGATCAGAGACTAAGCACAATTAGTCTATAAATACTCTATAAGTTGGAAACTTACCTCTGCACTATCATGCCTTGAAATTTGCTTTTTCAAAGGGAAATGAGTTTAGCAGCAGCCTTCAAAGAACTTTCTATGATGAGCCAAATTATCTTTGCCAGAAAAGAAATTTTGTTAATTCCAAGAAGCCTAATTGGAACAAGTCAGACATTCCTTCTCCTGTCTGCATGACTTTGTAAGATGGGAGAGAGGGCTTTGTTTCAACGTTTTTCTACTAGCCTGATATGTATTGTCACTTAAAATGGTTGCCTTTTTAAAAACGTAGAGATACTAATCCCCAGTGAATACTCATCCCGATCAGTGTCAGGAAGTCAGTCTTTTGGTGTACGGCGGCAACTGCTGCACTGAACACAAACAGTTCTGGAGTCTTTGAGGAAGACCACATGGCAGTGGATGGCAGAAAGGAGGGAGATGCCAGGCCTGAGTCTGGTGAACAGATCCCAGACACAGTGGATTTATCCGATATCCTGTCTAAGAGATGTAATGCGCTTAGGCCTGGCAGATCCAGGGCTAGATTTGTAGAAGAAGGACATTTTAAAAAACATATTCAGGAATCTTGGTGAATAAGATCTACTTCAATGGTCTGAATAACCATACCCCTCCCCATTTTTTAAGTTGCCATCTGGGGGATAATTGCAAATGTGTGGAGACCATTGGGATGCACTTATGTTTTTATTTAATTATTGCTTGTTTTCTAGTTTTGGCCAAAATGTGTGAAACCACTAAAAAACAATTTAGAATATATTGCCGGGCGTTGGTGGCACATGCCTTTATTCCCAGCATTTGGGAGGCAGAGCCAGGTAGATCTGTGTGAGTTCAAGGCCAGCCTGGTCTATAGAGTGAGTTCCAGGACAGGCTCCAAAGCAAAACAGAGAAACCCTGTCTCTGCAGAGAGAGAGAGAGAGAGGGAGAGGGAGAGGGAGAGGGAGAGGGAGAGGGAGAGGGAGAGGGAGAGAGAGAGAGAGAGAGAGAGAGAGAGAGAGAGAGAGAGAGAGAGAGAGAGAGAGAGGAGATATATTGGGCTACTGGATTGGATGGTAAGACCAGTGTTTATAGCAGTCATTCAGCCCATGATACTTGTGATACTTGTCACTGAACTGCCTTTCCTTGGACTGTTTAACATATGTAAGGATGAAGACATCCTCAAAAGGCTTACGATCTGGTTCCAAAGGATTTATTTCGTTTTTTAGCAATGTTTACTCATGGGCTCCAGCTCCCAGGCTCAGACAGCAGATTCAGGCTTAGAAATGAGATGCTGGACTATCCTGCTTTGGTTGTGCCCCAGGGTCTGCATTGTGACTGTCCCAGTTTTGCTGGGCTTATACCACTGCCGTATGATTTGAATATCGAGGGTCACTTTATCTGCAGTGCGTTCCAGCTTTTATCAGCTACCTACTAGCAGCTTCAGCACGGTATGAATTCCAGTTTTTTAAAGTGCCATCGCCATCTCCTCTGTTCAGATTTTGACATTCAGGAAAATATTCTTATTTTTATGCCATACTGAAATATACAGTGTATATCTGACAAAGCAGTTAAATGTGACAATAAAAACTTATTTAATCATGATATATTAGTGTCTGTCTCAGTACCAGCAAGTTCTTCCTTCAGTAGGTATTGCCTCTTAGGTAAGTTTTGTTTTTTAAGACCTTATTTTTGTTTATGTGTATGTGGTTGCATGTGGGTATGTGCTTTTGTGGGTACAGGTGCTAGTGAAGTCTAGGAGAGGACTCCTGGGGCTGGATTTACAAGTGACTGAGCCTCCATTGTAGGCACTAGGAACTAAAGAGCAACAAATGCTCTTAACCACTGAGCCATCTCTATGGCTAGGTAGTTTTTGTTTTTGTTTTGTTTGTTGTTGTTGGGTTTTTTGTTTGTTTGTTTATTTGTTTGTCTTGTTTTTCCGAGACAGGGTTTCTCTGTGGCTTTGGAGGCTGTCCTGTCCTGGAACTAGCTCTTGTAGACTAGGTTGGTCTCCAACTCATAGAGATCCCCCTGCCTCTGCCTCCCAAGTGCTGGGATTAAAGGCATGTGCCACCACCGCCCGGCTTTTTTGTTGTTTTTTTAGAAGTAAAAACAGTATTTTTCCCCCTTTTTTTAAAATTTAAGTTAGAAACAAGCTTGTTTCACATGTCAGTCCCAGCTCCCTCTCTCTCCTCTCCTCCCCTGCGCTCCCCACCAGGCCCCCCAGTTCCCCACACAATCTCCACTCCCATCCCCAGGGAGGGTGAGGCCCTCCCTGGTGGAAGTTTTGGTTTTTTAAAAGGCATTTAAAACTTGTCCTCAGTTTCCGTGGAGACCTGTATGGCTTCAAGAGGAATCTAAGAACACAACTTAATAAAATGTTCATGTTGATTTCAAGGAAAGTATGAGGACCAAGCTATCTAGAGAAGTACCCACAGTGGAAAAAGCTGCAGCCTGGAGCCTCCAGTGGCATCTCCCCAGAAGAGTCACTCTTGTTTGAAGTGATTGTTCAACCCAGGTCACCAACAACTAAGAGGCACAACTTGGTGCTCTGAGAGTATCTTAGGATATGTGGGCTCTCATAACAGGGCCAGCAAATGTGTTCTGGACTTTAGGGAGCTGTTTCTGAAGTAGTATCAAAACATAAAATTGGAAATCTCATCCCTAAATATTCAGGATATATATTTTTAAATGCCACAGTCAGAAAGGCAGATGACACTAATTAGTAAAATAATTTCATTTTACTAAGGAGGTTAAAAAAAAGAAAGGCTAAGCCGGGTAGTGGTGGCACATACCTTTAGCCCCAGCACTTGAGAAGCAGAGGCAGGTGGATCTCTGAGTTCAAGGTCAACCTGGTCTACAAAGCTACCTAGAGAAACCTTGTCTTGGAAAATGTTTTAAAAATACGTTATTAAAGCCGGCAGTGGTGACGCTTGCCTTTAATCCCAGCACTCGGGAGGCAGAGGCAGGTGAATCTCTGTGAGTTCAAGACCAGCCTGGTCTACAAAAGCTAGTTCCAGGACAGCCTCCAAAGCCACAGAGAAACCCTGTCAAAAAAAAAAAAAAAGGATTAAAAATATGTTATTAAAAAAAAAAAAAGCTAGTGAGGTGGCCCAGCTGCTAAAGTGTTTGCTTATACAGTCTGGTGACCCAAGTTCAATCCCCGGAACCCATACAAAGGTGGACAGAGAGTGGTCTCCACAAAATTGTCCTTTAACCCCCACACATAAATCATGGCACTCGTGCCCGCACACCATGCACACGTACAATAATAGTTTCTTATATCTTCAAAAAGTGGTCAAGAGGGCTCAAAGAGTAAAGTATTTGCTGTCAAGCTTGAGGACCTGAGTTCAAATCTACAGCACCCAATTAAAAAGTCAGGTGTAGTAATGTGCATCTGTAATCCCAGTGTTGGGGAGGTGGATACAGGAGGATTCCTGGAGCTTGCTGGCCACCTAGTTATGCCCAATCATCGAACTTTAGGTTCAGCAAGACCCTGTCTCAAGAAAAGAAAAAAAAAATGGTGGCGGGGCTGGAGAGATGCCTCAGCTGATAAAGACCTAACCGATTTCATTTTGGGGATCCACATGGTAGAGAAAACAGATTCCCAGAAAATTTTTCTCTGATTTTCCCATGTATGCCATAGCATACACAAACACATACAAATTAATAAAACAAGGCTCCTAATGTTGACTTCTGGCCTCCACATGTGTAGACATTGGCAAAGACACTCACATATGCACAGACACCACATACACGCAAACCCACAATAAAATCTTTAAAATTAAGAATGTTAAATAAAGCTGGGTGTTGGTGGCACACACCTGTTATTCCAGCACTCAGGAGGCTGAGGCAGGTGAATCTCTTGAGTTCAAGGTCGGCCTGGTCTACAGAGTGCGTTCCAGGACAACCAAGGCTACAAAAGAAACCCTGCCTCAAAAACAAAAACAAAAAAACTAAATAAAAACTGAAGGGAAAGTGATAGCTGTGAACTGTGTTCTGGATCTGTTTTGTGTTGGTCACAACTTTTAGTACTGGGTACCTCTTGCAAGGTTCTTGGTGCATCCCCTGAAAGCCTGCTAGTAAAGAATGGAAAATGTAGCCTGGTAGTGGTGGCACACTCCTTTAATCCCAGCACTCAGGAGACAGAAGCAATTGGATATCTGTAAGTTTGAGGCTAACCTGGTGTACATAGGGAGTTCAGGACAGAGACCTATACAGAGAAACCCTATCTTGGACAAAAACAAAAGAATGAAAAATGTAACTGGGCATAGTGGTGCACACCTTTAATCCCAGCACCAGAGAGTCAGAGGCAGGTGGCTTTCTGTGTACTCCAGGCCATCCTGATCTACATAGAGGGTTCCAAGACAGCCAAAGCAACAACAACAACAAAAATGAAAAAAACGTTTACTTCTCAGCTGACAGTCTTCCGAGAGATCCTAGATTTTAGCTTAACTGTCTTCCTGTGTCTCCGTGTTGTGTGTATGTTTGTGTGTGTATATATATATGTGTGTGTGTGTGTGTGTGTATATATGTGTGTGTGTATATACATATATATACATCTATGTATGTTTTGTGTTTGCGTGTTTTGTGTTTATATCTGCCTGTATTTTGTATGCATGTATTGCATGTGTTTATGTGGTGTGTGCAAGGGCAGGTGTGTGTATATCAAAGCATGTATGTGGAGGGAGGTCGAGGACAACTTTCGGGAGTGGTTCTCCCCTTTCACTGGGTTTCAAAGATCAGACCTAGGTTGTCAAGAGTATGCAGAAGCACTTGTACTTGCCATGCCGTCTTGTCAGCCAGTCTTACTTTTATAGTGGTTTTTATGATGTCTTCAAAAAGGCAGGAGTCAGGTCATGGGGTACTGACAACCTGGCTATCTGGTATCTGGACATTGGGACAGGGGTATCAGGACACTCAGATGAGATAGTTCCTTGAATACTGCA